GGCACTGGGAGTTGAACCTAGGGTCTTGTATATACCAGATAAGCTCTCTACCACTGAGCTAAATCCCCAGCCACAAAAGAAAAAAATTAAAAAGGGCTGGGGATGTAGGTTAGGGTAGGCCCTGGGTCCAATCCCCAATACCATAAAACAAACAGAAGCAACAACAAAACTCCAAATACACCAAGAAGAAAGAATAAAATAGGGGCTGGGGATTTAGCTCACGGGCATAAGTGCCTGCCTTGCAAGCAGGCAGTCTGAGTTCGATCCCTGGTACCGAAAAAGACAAACAAACAAAAAAAGAACAATGAAAGTGTAAAATCGAATTACACATTGTGAGAAAACAGCTGCAAGTTATACATCTGATAAAGGATTTGTATTCAAAATGAAACTTCATTATCTGTATAACTAATATGCCCAAATAAAAACAAAGATGTGAACCAACTTTTTTAAAAAAGGACGTGTATTCACAATCGGAAGAACTCTCACAACCAAAACAAAATAAAACAAAATGAAAGATAAGCAGGGGTTGGGAGCCTGGCCCAGTTTTAGAGCAGGCAGGCAGGAGGCTTTGGGTTAAATCCCCAGTACCACTACCACCATCAACAGTGAAAAGATGACCAACCCATCAGAATAGATAATTGTACCAAAGAAGAGATAAGAATGGTCAATAAAGCCATGAAAAGACACCTCAACCAGAGTTTAGCAGCGCCTGAGCCTAGCCCTGGGTTAGATAACAACCCTCAGCACCCATTAGCACTAGGGCAATTCAAATTACAGCCACAGGCACTAGAAGGGCTCTAATAAAAGAAGTCACCTACAGCCCGCTTCAAGTGGTGAAATCCGAACCCTTGCACCTCACCGGTGGGAATGTAAAATGGTGCAGCCTTTTGAGGAGTTTATATTTTTTCCAAATGACTGTTAAATTTATTTGCGTGATTAGTAATGGTCTGGGTAAAAGTTAACCAATGCTGAGATGTTTGTAATAAAATAAATTTAAAAAGAAACTGGGCATGGTGGCTCATTTCTGTAATCCCGGTTGCTGGAGAGGCTGAGGTAGGAGGATCGCCAATTTGAAGCCAGCCTGGGCAATTTACCAAGACCTTGTCTCAGATTTAAAAGGCTGGGGATGTAGCTCAGTGCTCCCTGGGTACAGTCCACAGGATCACACACAAGGATATTTCATGTCACTTGATAGGAATTAGGGGCCAGGGATATAGCTCAGTGGCAAAGCACCTGTCTGGCAAGCCCAAGGTCATGAGGTCAATTCCTGGTACAAAAAAAAAAAAAATTACATTGACACAAAGAAGAAAATATTGCCAGCAAAGCAGCCGGGTATGATGGCCCATGCCTATAATCCTAGGAAACAGTTTAAATGTATCTCAAAATGTTAAACATAGATTTACAACAGGACTAAGTAATTACACTAAGTATATACCAACAGACATGAAAATATGTTGTCATGAAAACTCGTACACAAATGTTCATTAGCAGCAGCATTATTTACAATACTCAAGAAGTAGAATATTAGTGAGTGGGTCAATAAAATGTGATATGCAACTGTATTCAATAGAAAAAGGAATGAACTTCAAAACCATTATGCTAAGTGAAAGAAGCCATATGCAAAACATCACAAGTTGTGATTCTGTTTAAATGAAACGTCCAGAAAAATGAAATCTAGAGATAGGGAGTTCATCAATAATTGCCTGGGGCTGGAGAAGGGAACAGTGGTTAATTGAAAATAGACACCAAGAGGATGTAGAGGCATATACTTGTAACCCTGGCACTTGAGAGGCTGAGGCAAGAGGATCGCCACAAGTTTGAGGCCAGCCTAGTCTACATAGTGAGTTCAAGGCCAGTCTGAATTACACAGCAAGAACCTGTCTCAACCCTCCCTCCTCCCAAAAATAGACACCAGGTACCTCTTTGATGTGAAGGAAATGTTTATAATCTGATTATGATGATGGTTGCACATATCTGTAAATTTATTAAAATTAATTGAATCCTATATTCAAAATCAGTAATCTTATAAAATATATAAATTTGATTTTTTTTAGATGGGCTCCCACTATATTGTCCAGGCTGACCTAGAAACTCACCGTCCTTCTGCCTCAACCTCCAGAATAGCTGGGATTACAGATGTGAGATACCACACCCTAATAAATCTGAGTTTTTAAAAAGTGTATTCATATTTTGTTCTGAATCCCAGCTCTACTATTTACTAGATGTGGGAGCTTGTATGTGTTATTCAGTGTTTCTAGAATTTAATTTTCTCACTGGTAAAATGGGACTATTCTTTATCTCACTGGATTGTTGGATCAAATAAAAGTTAGTATGCGTTTAGTTGGATCTGCAAAATGTTAACTTTTTTAAAAGAGGTGAGGTCTTTTAGTTGGAATGGTTTATTCTGGTTTGATTTTATTATCTGTGATGGTATGAACAGCTATTTTTGAAGAAAACAAGATATAATACGCCATTGCTGATTTAATATCATCTTGCTTTGAAGTCCTACCATGCTTTTGTTCTTCTGTTTTCATTGGTTCTATCATGTTGTATCTTATTGGATTTTATTATGTGTGATAGTACAAACAAATTTTTTATGGAAAATGAGATAATATAGGAGCCATTGTTCCTCTTCGGTTATTTAGTTCTGAATGTCCTATAATACTTTCATTCTCTTGAATGGTTTTATACTATTTTGTTATATTTGATACTACTGTATGTAAAGGTATGCTCAAAGAGACATTGTGGCACCTACTTACTGTTAATACCGGCGCTTGTCTTGTGAAGTACAGTGTTACTTACATTGTTCTGTTCTGATGTTTTGTTCTGTCCTCTTTTGTCTTAATCTCTTTAAAATAAAAAAAATTTTTTTAAAGAGGTGAGGTTGGGGCTGGGGATTTAGCTCAGCGGCATAAGTACCTGCCTTGCAAGCAGGCGGTCGTGAGTTTGATCCCCGGTACCGATAGAAATGAAAAAGCCAAAAAAAAAAAAGAGGTGAGGTCTTGCTATGTTGCTGAGGCTAGCCTTGAATTCCTGGGCTAGAGGAATCCACCTGCCCCTGTCTCTGGAGCAGGCTGAGATTATAGGCTTTAAAGTATTTTTATTAATAAACATTATTTACTGTTGTGTTTCTACTTTTAATAGGTTTCTGATAATAAAGTGTTTTATGTCCTATTTACTGTCAAAGGATTTGTTTGAGATGTAATTCATATATTTTAAGATTCACCCAAGGGCTGGGGATTTAGCTCAGCGGCATAAGTACCTGCCTTGCAAGTGTGTGGTCGTGAGTTCGATCCCCGGTACCGATTAAAAAAAAAAAAAGACAAAAAAAAAAAAAAAAAAAAAAGATTCATCCTAGCTGAGTGTGATGACACAGACCTGTAATCCCCTGAGAGTTTGACGGCAGCCTGGGCTACACAGTGAGCTCAAGGCCAGGCTGCAATACAAAATGAGACCCTATCTCAAAACAGACAAAAAACAAAACAAAACACAAAAAACGCCTCAAAAGAAACAAAAAATTCATCCTGTGAAACTTCACACAATTAATTAGTTTTTAGTACATTTGCAGAGGATATGCAACCATCACCTCTGTCTAACTGGAGTCTTTTTTTTTTTTTTTTTTTTTTTGTATCAGAGATTGAACTCAGGGACCTTGCGCTTGGCAGGCAGGAGCTTATGCTGTTGAGCTAAATCCCTGGACTAACTGGAGTATTTTCATGACCTTGATTTTTTTTTTTTTTGAGACAAATTTCTAATTTGTCCACTTGGGCTCAAATTTTCCATCCTCCTGCCTTACCCTCCCAGAGTGCTGGAGTAACAAGTATATGCCACCACCCCAGGCTGGTGTAACTATTTAGAATGGAAAGGGACCTGGGGATGTAAAGAGACAGAAGGGAGAAGACAGGAAGGGGAAGTTAAAAAAAACAAAGATCAAGATGTGATATGTATATCTACCAATTTCCAGCGATGAATGTACTTATTTTTTATAAATATATACAAAAAACCTGCAGGAAAGGTAAAATAAAGCCAAATAAAGACCTACACCAAAGTACTAGCTTGTAGTTTCTATCAGCACTTAATCAATGAATGCACTTATTAAAATATAACTTCTTGTTTTAGGTAAACTGCTGTACCTAAAATTTACCAAATAAAACTCATTCAATCCAGGCATTGGGCGTATGGCTATAATCTCAGCAATTCTGGCGGCTGAGGCAAGTGGATCGCCAGGAGTTCCAGGTCAACCTGGGCGACACAGTGAATTCAGGACCTGCTTGAATTACATAGGGAGATCCTGTATCCAAAAAAAAAAAAAAAAGTATAAAAAATTCTTTTTTCATCCCCTTCCCTCCAATAGTGATTTACTAATAATCTTTCCATTGAAGAAGTGAGTTTTCTAGGATCTGGCTTAACAAAAACAAAAACTTGGGACACTCTCACTACACCTAGTTTCCACCTGTTGCAAAACATTCGAACACAGTCCTAACGAGGAACCAACCACACCTTTGCCCTTTAGCCAGCCAAGTACCACTAAGCCATTCACTAAATTTCCACGCGAGGGCGCCCTCCCCAACGCGCGCCGGTGACCGCGCGGCGACATGAGCGTGCCCAACTCAACCGGAGGCCTCCTCACGGCCCGGAGCCCAGCGCAGGCCAAAGAAGGCCCCAAGTGGATCTTGCTTTATTAAAGTATTGAAGTGGAAAATAAATTAATTAATAAGGGACATTCCCTCTTTCTACTTTTACAACCTAAGATTCCCAAATTCCGAGAAACTCCTTGAGCCACCCCCACAGGAACCGGAAATGGCTTCTCCCTTGTCAGCGCAAGTATCGCGTAGTTTTACCCGCCTCGCAGGGGCCTCTTGCGGGGCTGCCCTCAGCACTGCCTGTACAAATACCTAACAAATCTGTAACAAAGAGACGCGAATCTTAGCACTGTGTCTTTAAATAAGCCTGCAGACAGACTGAACAACTCGAAGCAAGTAGAATTCCGGATAGTGCGGCTGCGGTTGCACCCGTATCCTTTCCAGGCCTCGGCTTTGTCGCCTTCTCCGCCTCCGCCTCCTCGCACCGCCCGCGGGGGCCTGAGTACTGTCAGGCGGTGGCCGCAGGAAGTTCCGTCCTCTCTGGGCAAGATGGCTGGGGGTGAGGCTGGAGTGACTCTGGGGCAGCCGCACCTTTCTCGCCAGGATCTCGCCACCTTGGTGAGGTTTCGTACTGAGAGAGTGTAGTGAGCTCTGTAGTAGGGATGGTTGAGCCTCCCGGAGGACGGGGCAGTGCCAAATTATTGGGAGCATGGGTAGAAAGAAACTCCGGAGCCAGGCGCGAAAGCCGCCTGCTGTTAGGCCATGCAGCTAGCTGGGCATCGGGGTGTGCGACCCGGGGATCTGGATCTCTTGAGATTCGGCTAGGCCTTGGTGTTAAATGTCATTAAGGTTTTTACCTGTGAAAGGCCGGGAACACGGTGTCTACACTGTAAGTGTAGGACACCGAAGACACTCTAAAGCTCCAGGATTGGGGGCTCCCTCCCCCTGACCTCCTTTAATGAGCATGGGTTCCTGGTTTCTAACGATGAGGGCCTTTTAGGACTTCACTACCTTCAGAATATAAAATTGCTTATAGGAGGAAGGTGCTTTCAAAGTAGAGGAGAGCTATACCGATGGCGGTGTACAGTACATAGCAGGTGTACAAAGGAAGCCGGGCGTGGTGGCTCACACTTGTGATCCCAACACTCGGGAGGCTGAGGCAAGATGATCGTTGAGAGTTCGAGACCAGCCTAGGCTACGAAGTGAGCTCAAGGCCAGCCTGAACTGCATAGTGAGACCCTGTCTCAGACAAAAAAAAAAAAAAAGTACAAAGGAAAAGTTCTGGTTTGTCTATCATGTTTTAAAGTAGATATATTTTGTTGCAGGATGTCACCAAGTTGACGCCACTTTCACATGAAGTTATCAGCAGACAAGCCACAATTAATATAGGTAAGATAATAACTCAGGTTTCTAAGTAATCTCTCCTTTTGTGTAATAATATGAGAATTTAAATATTCAAGAGTAGATGTTGAAGCTGATTGCACACCTGTAGTCCCAGCTACTTAGGAAGTCTGAGGGGGGAGGATTGTTTGAACCCAAGAGTTTGAGGCGAGTCTAAGCATCATACTGCAACTGTGTGTCCAGAAAACAACAACAAAATAACAAAGAACTTTGTTTTCTTTTAGGGGAATTGAACTTTGCATTTGCAGAACCTTGCATTTTCCAGGCGGATACTGTCCCCTGAGCTGTATCCCCAGCCCCCAGAACTTTTGTTTTTGAGCCCTTGGCAGCAAACCATCTAGTAGAATTTTAGGGGTGGGGGGTGAAAGAAACGGCTGCTGGTGTATAGTTTACAGATTAGATGAGAAGAAAAGATATAGACATATGGAATGTCTAATAGCATAAGGCAGTATGCAATCATGTGGCAGGAGCTGAAGGAAGTGGTGAAAATGTAGCTCTACTTGTCATGCAGGATTATTGAAAGGGCAGTTTATAAAATTTTTATTTAATGTAGAAGCTATGATTAAGGTTTTTTTTTAATTGGCACCTAGAACATTAAAAGAGAGATTATGTTGAGTAAGTTTTGGGCATTTTGAGTCTACAAACAGTTCGGTACAAGGTAGATAAAAGTAAAATTCAGCCAGTTACCATGATGCACGATTATAATCCCAGCTACTTGAGAGTTGTGAGTTTGAGGCCAGCCTGGACAACATGGTGAGATGCTGTTTTAAAAAAAAAATCCTTTACTGTGAGAATGTGAAAATGCTATAAATTATGTGCCATCCTTGATAGCATTATGGTAAATAAATTTGGGTTGTTTTATTGGTTTCAAGAATTCCTTTTTGTTGTGTCAGAGCTTCTCATACCTTTTTTTTTTTTTTTTTTTTTTTTTTTTTTTTTTTTGAGACAGGGTTTCATGCAGTTCATGCTAATGCTTGAACTCTTGGTGATCCTCCTCACTCAGCCTGCCAAGTGCTGGGATTGTAGGCATGCACAACCCCGCCCAGCTTTCTCATACCTCTTTCCTACTTTTCTCTGTCTCTGTCTTGCTGTCGATGTCTTTTTTTGTCTTTTTTTTTGTCTTGTTGAGACAGGGTTTCTCTATGCAGTTTAGGCTATCCTTGAACACAATTTTACAGCTCAGGCTACATTTTTAGTCTGAATATGTTGGAATATTTCTCTTTTTTTCTTAATGTTTCTTTTTCCTTTTATTTTTTTCTTGTTCTGGAGATCAAAAGGGGCGGGAGAGGTGCTTCCATGTGCTGGGCAAGCACTGTATCACTGAACTACAACCTCAGCCCTTAGAGGATCTTGCTAAGTTGTCCAGGTGGGACTCAGACTTTCCATCTTCCTTCCTCAGCCTCCCAGAATGCCGGGATTACAGGTGCCCATCGTAACACTCAGTTTATGTTCAATGTGGTTTTTAAGTAAAGCTGTTAATTACATGGAAAGTTCTTCCATTCTATATCAAAATAAGTTTTTAATGGGAAAGGATAAATAGGAAAAATTCAAGTCATTGTTGGTTTTACATTGATATTTGCAGTGAGTTATGGCTTTGAGTCTTCTATTTGTAGTACTATTTGAAAAAATATTTGGTATTATTGAATGCAAGTGAGTTAATTCTTTGTACTTTTTTTATAGGTACCATTGGTCATGTAGCTCATGGGAAATCCACAGTTGTAAAAGCCATTTCTGGAGTTCACACTGTCAGGTTCAAAAATGAACTAGAAAGAAACATTACAATCAAGCTTGGATATGCTAATGCTAAGGTGAGCTGTGTGCTGTGGAGCTAGAAATTATTTAGCTTTCACTGTTGTGCAGTTAACAAATCCCTCTCTTTTTTTCATTGAAACTTTTAGATTTATAAACTTGATGATCCAAGTTGTCCTCGACCAGAATGCTATAGATCATGTGGAAGTGGTACACCTGATGAGTTTCCTACAGACATTCCAGGGACCAAAGGAAACTTCAAATTAGTCAGGTAACTTTTTTGGAGGGGTCTTTTTTTGAGGTGGGATCTCACTATGCAGTTCAGGCTGGCCTTGAGCTTGTATGTAGCCCAGGCTAACCTTGAACTTACAATGATCCTCTTGCCTTAATCTCCTGAGTAGTCAGAAAACCTCTTTTTTTTTTTTGGTCTTTTTCCTTTTTTCTGGTACCGGGGATCAAACTCACAACTGCCTGCTTGCAAGGCAGGTGCTTATGCTGCTGAGCTAAATCCCCAGCCCCAGAAAGCCTCTTTTGGGTAAACGTTTTATTTTATTGTCTTGTGCTTTTTCAAGTATTGAATTGAGATACTAAACAACAAATGTAATCACTGAATATTTTTCATGTTATGTTGTCTCTAATGTTGATAACTAAAAAGACAAGCTTTTGGAATTTAGTTAAAGTATTTAAAGAAAAAGTTCTGCAAACTACTACAAGTATTGCATAACCAGAATGGGAGAGAAACACAACTTTCTGGACTTTAGAAGTTCTGTTTTTGGCTTCCTAAATTTCTTTTAAGCATTGTTGTTTCTGTTTATTAGGTAGGAGAGGGATAAAGTCATTCTTAATTACTTCTCCAAAACATGGGTTTGTTTCCCCTCTATTTTCTGAACATGAATAGGTATCCTGGTTCTTTATCAAAAGATACTGACTTCTGTCTAGTGTTAGGGATGGGGATTACAGATGATTTAAAAGGAAATTTAGATCAGGGGTAGGGCTGGGATTAGTTCGAGGTAAGTCAAGTTTTCACTTTGGGCTCAAAATGTAGGGATAGTGGGCATGGTGGTGCAGGCCTGTAATCTCAGCACTGAGGAGAGTGAGACATGAGGTTGGCTGTGAGTTCAAGGCCAACCTGGGCTACATAGTGAGTTCAAGCCTCACTACATAGCAAGACTCTGCCCCCACCCCCCAAGTGTAAGGATAGAGGGTAAGCCACAAATCTTAATATTCAGGACAAATAACTTTAATGCAAATTTTAGAAAGTAATACAAAACATTGTGATGAATGTTAGAATTTTAAATAATGGCAGATGCAATATTGCAGATGTTTTTCTCTTATTTCAGTGTCTTCTATTTTTTGGTGTGACTTTTTTTTTTTCTTTTTCATTTTTATTGGTACCAGGGATCGAACTCAGGACCGCCTGCTTGCAAGGCAGGTACTTATGCCGCTGAGCATGCCCCAGCCCCTGGTGTGACATTTTAAATTTGTTTGCTTTTCCCACTGTGGGGACATTGACCCCAGGATCTTTGCACTGAGCTACATTCCCCAGCCTTTTTTTTTTTTTGGATAGGGTTTCACTGTGTGGTTCAGGCTGGCTTTGAACTCACTTTGCCTCAGCCTCCAGTGCTGGAGTTACAGGTGTGTGCCAGCTGAATTTTTTAAATGCTACATTTGAGTATTTATTTTGAGTGCCTCATGTTTTGTATTTGTTGTTTGTTTTCTTTCTTTCTTTCTTTTTTCACTATGCAGTTCAGGTTGGCCTTGAACTCACTTTGTAGCCCACACTGTCCTTGAATTTGTAATATTCCTGCCTCAGCTTCCCAAGTGCTGAGATTACAGGTGTGCGTCATCATACCCTGCAAGTGCCTAGTTTTTTGACCTCCCTTATATTTTGCCTCTGAGGTAATTGTTTTACCTGTCTAGTCCTGGCCCTTATCAGGAATCAGTGTACTTTTTCTGTAAAGGGTTAGGTAATAAATACTTTTAGCTTTGCAGGCCATAAAGTCACTGTTGCAAGAACTTGTCTCTGTTATTACCTCACCAATTTATACATAGATAATACGTGCCCCTGTGAGTATGGTAAGAGGCCCAGTTTGGCCTAAGGGCCATAGTTGGCTGACTCTGATCATGTTTCAGAGTATGGGAATGTGAATGTTCAATTTTTTTAGAAAAGTCATGTTTCTGAGCACATACTATAGTTTCACTAAAATTATGCTGTCTTCTTCATGTGTACGATTTGAGATATTCAGAGTGGAATTTTTTCAAATGAGTCTTTATTCTTTTATTTTTTTTTTTCCTTGAGACAGAGTCTCACAATGTAGTTCAGGCTGGCCTTGAGTCATGATGATCCTCCTGCATCAGCTAGGATTACAGATGTGTGCCACCTGCCCGGAAACAGTCCTCATTCTATTAATGTGGTTTTTGCATGTCATTAAGCTGTAGCTTTTTCTTTTCTTTTCTTTTTTCTTTTTTTCTCGTACCAGGCATTGAACTCAGGACCTTGCCCTTGCCAGGCAGACACTGTGCCACTGAGTTGTGTCCCCAGCCCTAGCTTTCAAATTCATCACATTTCTAACATAGGTTCTATGTATCATTATTCTATCCCATATTCACTTTAATTGGATGAGAGTACGTATCTCCAGTTATTTATACATGAACTAATTTCATTTGATTTTAATAATCTACAGCTCCTGAGAGATTAGAATTATTGAATGGGTTGCCCTAGTGATCTTATTTCTAAAGTCTTTTTTTTTTTTCTTTTGGTTTTGGAGATCGAACTCACAACCTTGCACTTACCAGGCAGACACTTATGCAACTGAGCTAAATCCCCGGCCCAAAACACTAAATCTTATGATCATTTGATAATGTTAACTTCCTAAGTAATTTAACTTTAAGAAATCTATAATCTAAGCTGGGCATGATGGTATACACTTGTAATCCCAGCTACCTAGGAAGCCAAGGCAAGAGAATTACAAAATTTGAGGCCAGCCTAGGCAACTAAATGATTTTTATATATATATATATTTTTTTTTTTTTTTTCTTGTTCCTTTTTTTTTTTATCGGTACCGGGGATCGAACTCACGACTGCCTGCTTGCAAGGCAGGCACTTATGCCGCTGAGCTAAATCCCCAGCCCCCAACTAAATGATTTAAAAAAAAAAAAAAGAGAGAGCTGATGAGTGTGGTAGTGCATGCCTGTAATCCCAGCCCTATAGAGGCTGAGGCAGGAGGATCATTGTGAATTTGAGGTCAGTTTGCACTATATAGCAAGACCCTGTCTCAAGAAAAGGACTAGGAATGTGGCTCAATGGTAGGGCACTTGCCTAGCATGTATGAGGCTTGATTCTATCCCCAGTGCCAGAAAGAAAGAAAAGGGAAGAAAAAAAAAGAACAAGCAAGTTTGCATGTTTATTGATGGATTTTCAGGCTGACTGTTATTTCTTGGTTGGTAGACATGTTTCCTTTGTCGACTGTCCTGGCCATGACATTTTGATGGCGACCATGCTGAACGGTGCAGCAGTGATGGATGCAGCTCTCCTGTTGATCGGTAAACATATTAGAATTAGTTTGGACAAGTCAGTGTGGGACAAACGCAAGGGGAAATATTGCAGGGGAAACTAAGGCCACAGCCATTACCTAAGGGTGACACAAAGGGAAACTTTGTGTCATCCAGGATGACATTCCTTCCTACCAGCTATCACAGGGTACTTAAGAAGATAAAACTGGGACTGATAGCATCTGAGAGATCTTACAGTAATATCCAGAAGAAATAGGTCAATGTATTTTCCCCATCAAAATCACATGAGTTTAAAATTTATGTGAACTGGTCATAATATAGTCAGTTTAAGGCCAGCCTGGATTATATGGCAAGATCATGTCTCAAGCAAAAATAAGCAACATTAATGTGTAAAAGCATACATATGTGTTGTCAGAGCTTTTTCTCTGAGCTCTCTGTCTGTAGACCTAGAATTGTTTTGTTTAGATGTAAACATCATTCATAATAAGTTCTACTATCTGGCACAAGCCTTTTCAATGCCAGGGTTGTACTTCCTTATGTGGGCTGTTAAGAGACACCTTGGGGGTAGTGATTATTAGCATGTTGAACAAAACATGCCTGTTCACTTGTAATATATTCCTGATTATTTTCAGTTAGTACTCTGCCCTTTCATTGTTAAAGAGCAGCTTCTGGTACTAAAATTCCTATATGGTACTAAGTGTCTGTCCATCTTAGTTGCTCTCTTCCTCAGGAGCTTGACTAGGCCAGAGCATCTCTTAAGACTGGCTAGAGCTGGGGGGCTGCACGTTAGGCCTGAGCAGAAACTGAAGGAAGACCCTGACAAGCCAGGCTTGTTGGTTGTTTCTTGCGTAGGTCCGGGAACGGCAGGCTGCAGTGGATGCAGGCGCAGGGTGAAGGAGGGGTAAAAGGTGGATGCCTGGCAATGGTATCCAGGGCTTCTGCCCAGAGTGGGGCTAAACAATTCTGAAATCACCTTTCTTAATAGATGCTAGCACATTTTGTGCAGGGGGGGGAGTGGGATAGTGTGTGGTGATAAAGTGCAGAATTATGAAACTTAGCAAGTTAATAATTTAAAGTATACAATTCAGTGACATTGAGTACATTTATGTATTGTTGGTAGTGGTTTAACCTTACCAACATCTAGTTCCAGAGCTTTTCCATCTCTAGGAAAGGAACTTTAGTGTCCATTAGCAGTCACTGTCCAGACCTTTCTCCCCTCTGTCCCTAGCAACCATTAATCTGCTTTCTGTCTCTGTGAATTTGCCTGGTCTGAATATTTCTACCTATTCTTATCCATTCTTTTTTTTTTATTATTCCCCATCAACCAGCTGGTAATGAATCTTGCCCTCAGCCTCAGACTTCTGAACACCTAGCTGCAATAGAAATCATGAAACTGAAGCATATTTTGATCCTACAGAATAAAATTGATTTGGTAAAAGAAAGCCAGGCTAAAGAACAGTATGAACAGATCCTTGCATTTGTACAAGGTAAGAAGCCATAGAACCTAATTAATCTGTGAATCCCTTTGAGAGTCATTTATTCCAGGTAACCAAATGTTAAATTACCTCTTTTTAGTATAGTCTCTAAAACAAAGTAATCTTCAGGGTCTTACAACTTATTTCTCAGGGCTGGGGATTTAGCTCAGCGGCTTGAGCACCTGCCTGGCAAACATGAGGTTGTCAGTTCAATCCCTGGTACAAAAAAAAAAAACTCACTTATTTCTCTCTTTACTACGATAATGGAACTAGTGAGATGTATATTTCTGAATTTGATAAATTCTTGCTGACTGAAAATTAGAATTGAAGTTAGATTCAGTGAATGTGTGTCAGATTTTAAAAGACTGAGAGCTGGAGGTGGAGCAGAGTGCTTGCCCAGCACTGCCCCATCCTACACTGATAAGGAAAATGAATAAAAGCATTTAAAAATCTTCCTGGTGTCCATTTTTCTAGCTGTGTAGTCTTTCAAGAAAGATAAGCATCTTATTGATTACCTTTGATTCTCTGTTAGTCTTGCTGTTCTTGTTAGCAAGCTTCCTATGAAACCAATTCTGTCATCATGAAAAAGAAAAGTCATTATAGTTAAAAATCTAATTATGTTCTTTGACCAGCCTGTTTGACATATGATTAATGTGCAAATATTATATGTGCCACCTCTTTGATTAGCAAAGAGTCTGTAATTTTATCTTGACATTTATTAGGCGCTTTATTACATGTTACTAGAAATGTTTTCAGCTATAAAGCACTCTTTCCCAGGAGTATAGTTTATCTTTAAGCAGTTTTACTAGTTTACGATATTAAACACTCCAATGTGATTATAAGTTTTTCTCTCAAAGGAGACAGTTCATTTCTAGGAATTAAAAAAGGTAGATTGTTGCTATCTTTCTAAACAGAACTACCAGCTTCTACCTGATGTTAACATTTGGGGATGCTGAGTCTTCTATTTTGGTAATCATAATTGTTTTAGGTAACAGATGTGTTGAATAAGTTTTATAAAACTACACTGTTTTGTAATCCCAGCACTCAGGAGGCCTGAGGCAGGCGGATCGTTGTAAGTTCGAGACCAGCCTGGGCTACAAAGTGAGCTCAAGGCCAGCCTGAACTGCATGGAGAGACCCTGTCTCAAAAAGACCAAAAAAAAAAAAAAAAACTACACTGTTTTGATCTTTTTGAATTTTGTCTCATAGGTACAGTAGCAGAAGGAGCCCCCATTATTCCAATTTCTGCCCAGCTGAAATATAATATTGAAGTTGTCTGTGAGTACATAGTAAAGAAAATACCAGTACCTCCTAGAGATTTTACTTCAGAACCTCGACTTATCGGTAAGTTATAGGAGTCTCTTTTAATTCTCTCTATCTTTTTTTTTTTTGGTACCATCAAACTCATGACTGCATGCTTGCAAGGCAGGTGCTTATTCCGCTGAGCTAAATCCCCATCAATTCTGCTTGTTTGTTTGTTTGTTTTTGGTTTTTTTGAGACAGGGTTTCACTGTGCAGTTTAGGCTGGTCTTAAGCTCACTAGGTAGCCCAGGCTGGCCTCGAACTGATGGCAGTCCTCCTGCCTCAACTTTCCGAGTGCTGGGATTACAGGTGTGCACTACCACGTCCAGCCTAAATTCTTAATTTTGTCTTTTCTATATTGGCAGTCCCCTCTAAGGGTGTTTATTAATATTTCTTTCTGCAGAGTTGAGAATAAATCCATAAAACTTTAGAAATTGATTAGCACTGAGGTCCTATTGGTGGTGAGTGCCAGATTGTAGTGCTGGGTGAGGAGCAGAGACTTGAATGCAGTGGAAACTTGATGTGTTATGTGAGCAACATGGAGTACTAAACTCTTCTGTAGCTATAATGTTTTACATTATAATGTATAATGTCACTGTTGCCATACAGATGGTGTCAGTGTACATTAATGAAGTGCTGCTATTATTTGATATGCAAACAGTACTTTGGAGCCTTTTCAAAGCTGAGATTTGAGCCCTTCTGGGCCTCTATTTGGACCTTCTGTTTGATAGGAGAAGTTCTCTTGGGTGACCAAGGCACAGAATATGCAGTCCTAGAATTGTGGTTTTAAAAGGAAGAAAGACATTTTTAGTTGAGTATAGTGGCATTTGCCCGTAATTCCAACAGTTAGGAGCCTGAGACGGATGGAGTGCCACAAGTTCGAGGCCAGCGTGGATTACAAAGCAAGACCCTGTCTCAAAAAAACAAAGCAAATAAAAATAATTTTTTGTTGTAGAAGCTGTGTAATAATAGGGATCCCTTATATAAAAGGGGGTAATGTTTGCATATCCTCACTTGTACTTCTCTTTTTAACCCTTAATTGCTGAGAGTGAAACCCAGGACTTTGTGTGCGTGCTCAGCAAGTTGTCACTGAGTGGCATCCCCACCCCCTTCCCGTACATTTTAAATTTTTCTAGGTTTTGTATAATACTTAATACAATGCATAAGCTGTTTAATACAATATATATGCTTAATACAATGTATAAATAGTAACTTTTGTTTTCCTGAACAGTGTCATGAGTGTGCTTCCAGAGCATTACATGGAACTACCTTTTTGTTTTTTTTGTTTTTTATTGGTACCAGGAATCGAACTCACGACTGCCTGCTTGCAAGGCAGGCGCTTAGGCCGCTGAGCTAAATCCGCAGCCCCTACCTTTTTGTTGTTTTGAGACAGGGTTTCACTTTGTACTGTAGGCTGGCCTTGAACTCACTGCGATCTTCCTGCCTCAGTCCCCTGAGTGCTGGAATTATAGGTGCGTGCCACTGTACCTGACTATATAACTACCATTTTTAAATAGCTGCATGATACTCCATTAGTATCATGATATGCCATCTATTAATGACTTTCAAGTTATTGCCATTTTTCTCATCATAAGTAAGGCCTCATAAGGATTAGAGTAATATTTTCTTAAAAAACTTGACTTGGAAAATAGCATTTCACCTAAAGTTAAAATTAATAAAAGTAGTTTTAATTTCTTTAATTTTCTCTTAGTTATTAGGTCATTTGATGTGAACAAACCTGGTTGTGAAGTTGATGACCTTAAAGGAGGTGTGGCTGGTGGTAGTATTCTAAAGGGAGTACTTAAGGTAAACTGGATTGGGTGGTTGTTTTTGTTTTTTTACTTTGCCCTTGTCATATTTTTTTTTTTTTTTTTTTTTGGTGGGTTTTTTTTAACCAGGTCTTACTATGTAGTTCAGGCTGGCCTTGAGCTCACTGTGTAGCTCAGGATGACCTTGAGCTCATGGCAATCCTGCTTCAGCCTCCCAATTTCTGGGATTACAGAATTGTACCATCATGCCAAGCTATTTTGTCCCTGTTTTAATCAGGAAAAAAGAATGGGTAATCCAAATTGAAAATTAAAGATTTTTCTGGGCATGGTGGTGCTCACCTGCAATTCCAGCAATCTGGGAGCCTCAGGCAGGAGGATTGCAAGTTTGAGCCTAGTCAGGGCAATTTAGCAACATAGGTTGTGTCTCAAAGTAAAAACAGTAATAAAAAAAAAGGACTGGCCCTGGCCTCAATGTAGAGGCTCTGGGTTCAATCCTTATCCTTCGTACCACAGATAAACACACACCCCGCTTTTTTTCACGGTGTTGGATATGTCTGACCCCTGTGTTCATAAGGCTTCTCAGGAATATGGAGCACATTTTGTGTGGTGATAGATTTGTGTGGTAGGTAGTCAGCAACAGTAGAGTGGTTCTGATTTTAAAGATCTCTTCCACATCTGTTTTTCCTTTTTTTCCTTTTTTTTTTTTTTTTTAAAGTAATGATGTTTGGGGGCTGGGGATTTAGCTCAGCAGCGTAAGCACCTGCCTTGCAAGCGCACGGTCTTGAGTTCAATCCCCGGTACCAGTTAAAAAAAACAGTAATGATGTTTGGCCAGGTGTGGCGGCATAGTAAGTTCAAGGCCAGCATGAACTACATAGTAAGGTCTTGTATCCAAAAATAAAGTGAATTTTGAAAGAGAAGGATTGCCTTTAAAGTTTTGTGGTCTCCCTGTTAGAATTTCAACAGGTAAATGAAAATTGTGTACCATGATAATTCTCATTACTAATTGTATGTTTACAGGTGGGCCAGGAAATAGAAGTCAGACCTGGTATTGTTTCCAAAGATAGTGAAGGAAAACTCATGTGTAAGCCAATCTTTTCCAAAATTGTATCACTTTTCGCGGAACATAATGATCTTCAGTATGCTGCTCCCGGGGGTCTTATTGGTAAGGCTTTCTCTCTGGTTCCTTTTCTTTTAATTTCTGGACATTCATGGACTTGTTATGGGAAAGATATTGTGGATTTTTAATTGAGTATTTTAACAATTGCATGGGTTGGGGGAACATTTATGTAGTTAAAAACTGTTGCTTTTACTTTATAAGATGGTTTTTTGAACCAGGCATGGTGGTATACCTGTTATCCCAGCACTCGGGAGGCTGAGGCAGGGAGGATCACCATAAGTTCAGGGCCAGCTTGAGGTATATAGCAAGACATGCACACTTTATTTTTATTTATTTATTTATTAGACAGTCTCATTATGTTTTTGTTTTTTTGTACTGGGAATCAAACTCACAACCACGCATTTACAAGGCAGGCGCTTATACCGTGCAGCTAAATCCTGGCCCTACAGTCTCATTATGTTGCTCAGACTGGCCTACAACTCCTGGACTGGAGGAATCCTCCCACCTAGGCCTCTTGAATAACAGACTGTAGGCATGTGCCACTGTACCTGACTCATATGCATAATTACCACTATTTTAATCTGTACAGTGTGTAGGGTAGAAAGTGGTTGCTTTTCCTGTTTGTCTTGCAAATGGAAAGTTAATGGTAGAGCACTTGCTTACCTTGCACAAGGCCCTGAGTTCAATCTCCAGCAAACCCTCACCCTTCTCCAAAAGAAAGTTACTCCAAAATGTCAGTTAAGTGAAAGCAGATTATATATACACTTGAGTGGGAATCAAGGAAGACGCCTCTACCTGGACATGGTAGTCCTAGGTACTTGGCAGGATCAGGCAAGAGGATCATTTGAGCGCAAGGGGTTCAAGGCCACCCTGAACAACATAGTGACACCCTGTCTCAAATACAAAAAAGAGAGGGGGAGGGATAACTTTTACTATATAGGAATCACTTAAGTAACTTAAGGCTTTTCTAGTTTAACTTAGGAACTCTTCAAACTTAATAGTAGAAAATGGAGACTACTATAATGATAGCCTTCATGTAGCAACACTCAACTTCAACAGTTACCAGTATTTGACCAATTACCATCTATATATCTTCTCCCTTTTCTCCTACTACGATACAGTATTTTGAAGTGGATCCTCCTTTTCGGGTGTGAAGTCTTTAAGCTGTCTTTGTGTTCAGCCTGCCAGGAGGGAAGTAGCAAAGCTACTCATTGTGAATTCTGTATCTTTTAGCATTTATTGAGGATATTTAGATTATTATCTCTGCTTGCCCTTTGTTTAGAATTTATTTATTTATTGATACCAGGGATCAAACTCACAACCACCATGCTTGCCAAGCAGGCACTTATGCTGCTGAGCTAACACCCCAGCCTTGTTTAGAATTTAAATGAAGAGACTGTTCTCAATTGCCCAATGAACCTGCGCATGTATAGCTCTCTTCCACCAGATAAAATGAGTGTTTTGTTATACTCCTATAGTTGTTACATATATGGGGATGAAAATACAAGTATATATTAAAATGTATAGGTTTTGCTTCTTTGACTAAGCTTTTGAGCAAATTCTTCACAGGTACATTCAGAAATAAAAATAGAACTATACATTTTTGTCTTACATAGGAGTTGGTACAAAAATCGACCCCACCCTGTGCCGAGCTGACAGAATGGTGGGGCAGGTCCTTGGTGCAGTTGGAGCTTTACCTGAGATATTCACGGAATTAGAAATTTCATATTTCCTCCTTAGACGGCTTCTAGGTGTACGCACTGAAGGTGACAAGAAAGCAGCAAAGGTGAGTATTTTTATAATTCCTGTTTCCAAATAAGTTGAGAAAAAGTGACATTAAAACCAGTTTTGAGTTTTATTCTTTTATAGTTAATGTGGAATTAAGGTAAATCAGTTTGACTTCTTAAAAATTGAGAAGCAACTATATGGCAGTTAGTTTAAGGTAAAAACAAAACACATATTTTTATCAGTACCAGGGATCAAACTCACGACTGCCTGCTTGCAAGACAGGTGCTTGTGCCACTGAGCTAAATCCCAGCCCCCTTATTTGGGCTTTTAAAAAACACGATTTTTTTTTTTGAGACAAGGTCTTATTTTATAGTCCATACTGGGCTCAAACTCATGATTCTCCTGCCTTTCCTGGTCATAGGAGGATCAAAGGCCATAGGGGCTTTTTAGAAAAACTGTTTTACTGTTGGCAGAGATTGAAAAATTGCTAGTCCCTGATGTTGACAAAAATGTGAAAAATAAGCAGCGATTTGCTTCTTGGGAAAGTGTAAATTGGTAGTACTTTGTTTTTGTTTTTGTGAGACAGAGTCTTTGCATTGTAGTTTAGGCTGGATTTGAACTGACTAATCCAGGCTGGCCTCCAATTTGGAGTGATCCTCCTGTCTCAGCCTCTGAAGTGTTGGGATTACAGGTATGCTCCACCATGTCTGGCTGGTAGTGCTTGTTGATAGAAATTTGGTATTTATCAACATTTTAAATTTACCAACACTGCTCTAGCACACTTTATTCAGCACAAATAACATGAAAAGTTAGGAGAAAGCAGTAACTGTTATCCACATGCCTGTAAATTTTCAGGTTTATCATTTTTTTCAGAATTCCCTTTATTATAGTCTATTTTTGCCTCACTAGAGTATTTTTATTTTGGGGGGCAGGGAGGTACTAGGAATTGAACTCACGACCTTGCACTTGCTAGGCAGGTGCTGTGTCACTGAGCTATGTTCTGGCCCTCACTAGACTTTTTAATCAAATGAGATTTTATAATCAAATAATAAGAGAATAATACTAGCTATTAAACTGTGTACCATTATCTTCAAAGTAGTTACTCAGAATACATGACTTAAACCAAACAGATTCTTAAAAAAAAAATAAATAAACAATAACACCAAACTTTCTTTTCAATAAAAAATAGTATAAATGAATATGAAAGCATTCCAACAATGACCTGAATTTGGGTATTAGACTGTAAGTAGGCAAAACAGCAGTAATGGGAATCATAGCTGCTGATCGATTTAATCTTTGATATAACCATGTACAACATGTTAGCCAATTGGACAGAGTCTCTGGGAGTTCCAGAAACTGATTTAGGGATGTGGTGGACTTGGATCCCCATCACCACCTTATATTAACTCCTGCACAGCTATCCTCCCTATAGCGAGTTTCATACCTCATTTCTTCTACAAGTTGAGCATCCCTTTTTTTAATCCAGGGCCTTTGTACTGAGCTACCTCCCACCTGTCGTTTTGTTTTATTTTGTAATGTAGACTCCCTAAGTTACCCAGACTGAGCTCAAGCTCATGATCTTCAGCCTCTTTTTTTTTTTTTTTTAACTTTTTTTTTTTTTTTAGGTACCAGGGATTGAACTCAGGACCTTGCACTTGCTAGGCAGGCGATTGTGCCACTGAGCTAAATCCCCAGCCCCAGATCCTCAGCCTCTTGAATAGCTGGGATTATAGACATTCCTCCTTCGACCAATCAGTTGAGCATCCTTAATTCCTAAACTATAAAATGCCCCCAAATCCAAACTTTTGGAGTACCAACATGATGCCACAAGTTGGAAGATTCCACAAAACACAGGTGTACAGAAAGTGATGTAAAATTATTTTCAGGCTACATATATGAGATACATAGAAAATAGATACATAAGTGAGCCCAGCATGTTGATGCACACCTGTAATCCCAGCACGAGGACGATCTCAGAGTTGAAGGCCAGCTTGAACTACATAGTGAGACCCTGACTCAAAAAAACAAAACAAAGAAAACATAAGTGGATTTTTTATTTAGACTTTGGTTTCATCCCAAGACATCTCATGTGTATGCAAATATTTTAAAATCTGGAAAAATCCCAAACTCTTCTGTTTCTAAGTATTCCCATTAAGGGCTACTCAGCCTATATACAGCTTCTTAAGAATTTTAAGAGATTTTAATGCTGACATTACTGACTTTTTAAAGGCAGATTTTGTGTAAAATCAGTGAATACAAAGTAAGCCTGGTTACTGCCTTTATACTATGTGTATGGTTCCCATCTCATGATGAATTTTATGGAATGTTTTTCCTTTATGATTCCTTGTTCCTGCAAGTATTTGCTGAACTCTTTACTTATTTTGGCAAGCATTTTCTTAATTTGGGGATTTGTTTTTCTCCATTGCATTCCCCTAGGTCCAAAAGCTGTCCAAGAACGAAGTGCTGATGGTCAACATAGGATCTTTGTCAACAGGAGGGAGAGTTAGTGCTGTCAAGGCTGATTTGGGCAAGATCGTTCTGACTAATCCTGTGTGCACAGAAGTGGGAGAAAAAATTGCCCTTAGCCGAAGAGTTGAAAAGCACTGGCGGTGAGTTTATTAGCTTTCCACAGTGGGAAGACTCAGTTCACTGAAGTTCTTGATGGCGTACACACCACACGAGTATGCAGGATTCTCAGAGCACAACAGTTAGTGCGGCTCCAACTCTCAACTATTTATTTGGAGAACTATTTTTAGCCTTCGTGTGTAGTCCCATGTTTTATTCCAAATACAGTAATCGATGTTCTTTTCTCATAGACACAACTAACAAATTTAGGCTCAATATTTCTGTTTCTTTGACCTTGCTTTTTGCTGTTGGGGATTGGACTTCAGGGCCTTACTCATGTAAATGCTTAATTTGCTGAGTTCTAAGGTATATTCCCAGTCTATCTTTGACCTTTTTTTAACTTTTTTATTTGTAAGTAATTTCATACTTTATAAGTAAACTGCAGTAATTACACAAAAAACTGCTATATGGGTCTGGGGATTTAGCTCAGTGGCATAAGTGCTTGCCTTGCAAGCGCGCAATTGTGAGTTTGATCCCCGGTACCAATAAAAAAACCAAACTGCTAATATGCTCTTCAGACAAGTACCCACATCCACTTGTTTTTGTTTTGTTTTGTTTTTTGTCTTTTTGAGGCAGGATCTCCTTGAGCTCACTTTGTAGCCCAGGCTGGTCTCAACTCACAGTGATCCTCCTGCCTCAGCTTCCCAGTGCTGGGATTATAGGTGTGTGCCACCATGCCTGGCTTTTTTTTTCTTTTTGAAACAGGAACTCACTGTGCAGTTCAGGTTGTCCTTCAGCTCACTTTGTAACCCTGGCTGGATTACAAACTCAAAATGATCCATCCTCTTGCCCTAGCCTCCCTAGTGCTGGGATTATAGGCATGAGGTACCACATCCAGCTCACATTTATTTACATAGAAGTGTTTTTCTGTCTCCAAAAAACCAAGAATACTCTTTCTTATAACCATTTTAAGAAATATAACATTGGTGAAATCTTGAACTCTGCTGTTCTGATTCCAGTTTTCTCATCTGTCCCACTGAAGCCCTTTATGTCCTCCAGTCTAGAATTATGTGTTGCATTTAGGTTTCATGTTTATCTGATTTCTAATCTGGAACTTTTTCAGCCTTTTAAAGAAAATCTTTACCCTGTCAATTTTGAAGACTATAAGCAAGTTATTTTGTGGACTGTTTTGAAACTTGTGTTTATCTAATGGTTTGGAAATCTAAGATTAGGTTTAGGTTATATATTCTTGGCTCCTTCTCCAGGATCACAACCAGGACTACATGATATCTTACTGCTTTTCCTTATTGAGGTTAATTTTGATCATGTAGTCAAGATGTTGTATAGTTTCTATGCTGCATAGTTACTCTTTTCATCCTGGTAACTAATAAGAAATCTGTGGAGAGACTTTCTGTTCTTTGTTTTTTGAGACAGGGTCTCACTATGTATTTCAGGCTGGCTTTGAACTTGCAGTGATTCTCCTGCCTCGGCCTCCCAAGTGCTAGAATTACAAGTGTGTGCCACTATGCCTGTGCGGAGACGTTTTTTGAGCCTGTGCGAATAGCCTGCTGTTCATGATGTCCCAACCCTCTAAGTTTATTTATTTATTTTTGGTAGTAGGGTTTGAACTCATGACCTTGCTTGCAAGGTAGGCACTTATGCTGCTGAGCTAAATCCCCAGCCATCCCTCTGAATAGCATGCATTGACGAACCTTGCCTGAAGTAAGCTTGACTATATCAGCTGTAAAATGGCAATTCCATCTATCCCTTCCTCTGCTAGCTATCTCTACCACTCCACATTTGTCATTTGGCTATCTTTGTTCCCCCATTATTTACCTTTCTAGTTACAATTGTTTTTTATTAGTGCTGAGAATTGAGTTCAGCCCATAGTGCATGCTAGGCAAACATGCTACCACTGAGCTACATCCCATTCTTTTATTTTTGAATCAAGTTCTGTAGTCCAGGTTGTAATGGAATACCCTGTGTACTCCAGGCTGGGCTCGAAATCTTGATCTTCCTGCTTCAGCCTTCCAAGTGTTTGACACCATGTGTCTGGCTTTTATGTTGATAAGCAGGTTTCAGGCTGCTTCCTGTGTCCCTTTGACATGTCTCCATCTTACCTTTTTTCTTTTCTTTTTTAAACACATCTTTGTTTTCTGGCCCAAGATATTCCAGACTCCTGCCTTTCCTGCTTCTGTTTTAGAATTGGCCATTTCTCTAAGGCATACTGGTTCCCTTTACTGGGAAATGTTACCTAGAAATGAAGTGCACTCATTGCTCCTAAGCTGCTGTTGCTTCTAGGTCCTCTGAGTGACTAGAGGTAGAAAATACAAATGCATCTTTGATTTCTGCTGCCTTTTTTTCTTTCTCAGGATAGTGGTGAGTCTGCCCTGTCCTTTCTGTTCTGCCACCATTTCCCACTTACGAGTTACTGTAGAAGATTCCTACTTCATCTCCTTCTTTGTTATTTAAAAGCTCAATCAAAAGTAATCTTCCTAAAGCACTTTGATGATGCAGTGCTGAATAATTTCCTGTAGCTTCTCCTGTTGGATATTCAGGAGCTTTCTGGAGGCCTGCTTCACCTACTTCTCTCCTGCTTGTCTCATCTCTACACTGTAAATCTCACTATCTTGTATTCCTGTTCTCCCCAAAATTATTTCACTCGTGATTCTCTTTGTTTTGAAAGAGTTAAACTTTTTGTTGTCTTTTAAATAAATTTGTTCTGTGGTACTTTGCGCCCCTTTGATTCCCTTTTGTGATTGTACCATTTGCTATTACAAGCATACTGATTTCCATTGTTTTTTTTTTTTTTTTTTTTTTTTTTTTTTTTTTTTTTTTTTTTTTTTTTTTTGGTCTTTTTCCTTTTTATCGGTACCGGGGATTGAACTCACGACTGCCTGCTTGCAAGGCAGGCGCTTATGCCGCTGAGCTAAATCTCCAGCCCCCATTGTATTTTAAAATAGGTTAAATAATAAACTAAAAAACTCAACATACAAATAACAGCACTTGTTTAAATGCTGCATTTCATAGAGTAGAACTGATTTTAAGAGAAAGGATCTTTTTTGGTGTGCCTAGAAATACTATGAGGACCCTATCCAAATGAACTTTCAGGTTTTGCTTCAAAATTTACGAGTATGTTGAAGTCCTAAGAAGAGACAAAACGAACACCTGAATGATTCTTACATTCAGTAGAATTGTGATTTTTACCCATGTTTAGGTGGGCTTTGTTCTAAAAACTCCACTTGAGGGAGCAGTTGAGGGAGCCTGGCCATTGCCTAGACCAGACAGAGAAGAGAGTAGAGGAAATGGACTGATGTGGTTTGTGCCCTGGCATATTCTGGACTGAGTGTGGACTGAGGGCTCTTAGGTGGTTGAAAAGGGTAGGTAGGTTTTGATAGCATATGGATGAGGACATTCATGGTAGAATTTTTGTTTGCTTTTCCTGCCATGCTGGCAGAGCCTGTCTGCCAGGTTCTAAGCATCTGGGGACATAGCATGTTTTCTTTGTGGAAGAGCAGGCTTTCAGGACATATGTGCATTTACAACATGAGCAAGTAAAATCAGTCCAGCATATAATGGTATAGTAATGGTAATGAAGTGGATGTAAAATTCATTATTCCTTCTGTTTTCATTTTGCAGTTTAATTGGTTGGGGTCAGATAAGAAGAGGAGTGACAATCAAGCCAACCATAGATGATGACTGAAGAGTCCCAGTTAAATAATACATCAAGATGCAGCTGGAATTTGTCTGAACAACTAGGGGTATATTTTCAAAGCGATACTAGGAAATAATTTCACAGCTCGTTACCTTAGTAGGTAGCTCTAAGGTTATACTCATTTTTGGGTGATGAAAATCTAACCTCTAGTACTCATCATAAGATCTACAATAAACTTAAAAGTTGGCATAATGTTGGATTGCATCTACATTTTAACAGAAGTAAAGCATTTCCAAATCAGTCTAATTTATACATCCAATCAGATTTGAAATGAAACTGCTACCAATCAGCCTTCTCTATAGCACACGTGCCATGGAACCTGTCTGAAATAAAATTTTTCTTCTTTTTCATGATTCATCTTTGAATAGCTCTAGGCTAAAGGACTGTTAATGCCAGTAAAAACTGGAAGATATAAATACTCCTTAAAAACCAAGTCTTCTTTGTTAGGACTCATATTTTATGTTGCTTTTTTAAAACAATTGTTTTTATTAGTACATGTTTACAGTACATGATTATATTTACCAGGAGTTGGTATGTATACATAGCATATCCTAACTCTTGGAATGCTTGTCCCACCGATGCACCTCTCCCTTATTCTTTTGGACTGAGATATAGGCAACCGGAGCTGGAAGTTCTCACCCTCTCCCTGTGGTGCCCTGCAATTATTTCTGCATTGGTTTACACCTAAAACCTGAGAGTCTTCTATTGGAAAAAGCATTGTAGCGAATAGTTATGGACAGCTAACAAAGAAGCTCGCTCGGGCTTTTTGTCCTGCATAGTTGTTTAGTTTAGTGTTGTATCTTGTTTTTATGGTGCTGGGGAACCCCTAGGGCCTCAGGCATGTTGGACAAGCACTCTAGCACTGAGCTCTCCTCTACCCCAAGCCATTTTTGTTTTTTTAATTGTTTACTTGCTAGGATTGCGACTTAGAGTGTAATAGTGATCTTTGGACCTTGCAAGAGGTCAAGAGTAAAAGATGGTAGAAACAAAGAGTGAGTCATTTTGATTCTTTTTTAAATAAATCTTTCTACCAATACTTTTCATAGGCTATTCTTTTATCCATTTCTATTTATTTATGTCTTTGCTTCATTAGAGATTCTTTTAGAGCAGTGACTCCTAACGGGGTGACATTAGAATTGCTAGGCAAGGGGCTGGGGGTTTAGCTCAGCGGCATAAGCGCCTGCCTTGCAAGCAGGCAGTCGTGAGTTCGATCCCTGGTACCGATAAAAACGAAAAAGACCAAAAAAAAAGAATTGCTAGGCAAGCTTTTTAAAAAAGATGCCCCCACAGATTTTGATCTTAATTGTCTTGGGGTAGAAACCAGTGCATTGATATTTTTTAAAACTATAAGTTTAGAAAGTTAAGAGGTAGGCATATTAAATAATAGTATCTCACTGTGTTTGTGTGATCTGATAAAACTAGTTTGCTTTTCTTAACAGTTTGTGTTGAAATGGGTTTTAAGCCCCAGTCATTGTATTGTGCTCTTAGATGTTGAAACTGCCTTACAGAAGTCCAGAAGCTGTGGCCGTGGGTCAAAGTTTCTAAGTCTTAAGGAAGCATATCAATGTTATATTCTTGATTGACTTTGAAGGGTTATATTGTAGCATGAGGACCACAATTAAATAAAAGAAAGTTATAAATCAAAAATTAATTTCATATCTAATGTCCTCCCCATGTGTTTTGTAATCATTTTCTACCAGAAATTCTGGGGTAAGACCCCAAAATATTGACTAATTTATAATTGACCTCGTCAGAATTGAAACCAGAAGTCTTTTGTAATTAAATACTCTTTTGAATTTCAAAAGCTTGGCAAAGCACTGTGCTTAGTTTGATGGTTATGTGGATAGGAAAACAGTGGCCCTTGTTGTAGAACCTGAAATCTGTGCACTGACTTTCAGCTGCAGGTACACCTGGCTGAGGCCCTGCATGTCATGCGATCTCACTGAGAAAGGTACATTCCATGTGTAGGGCCTCTTGGATTTAGAATCAAGATATTTTCAAAATTTTACCAGTTCTCATCACCTTGCTACCACCCCACTCAAAGCCAGGCATGTTGGTATATACCTATACTCCCAGCTACTTGCGAAGCTAAAGCAGAAGGCTTTCAAGTTTGAGCCCAAGCTGGGCAACTTAGCAACTTAGTGTGATCCTGTTGAGAGAGGAAAGAAAGGAAGAAAGAAAAAGAGCTGGGGATCTAGCTCTTAGGGTAAAAGCCCTGGGTTCTGTCCTCAGTACTAGGGTGGGAGAAACCAGGGTTCTCACCCAGAAGAGCCTCAAGCTCCTGCTTACTTTTCTGCCTGCCCACTTGGTCTGTCCTCAGCGTGCCAGCCAGTGAGCCTTTTGACAATGCTTGTGTAGCTCTACGATGATCAGCTGTAAAGATAATCTCTTGCTGTGACGCAAGCCAAGGGGTTTCCAGGCCAGCCTGCAAAGCTCTCCTCTCCCTTCTGCTCATGGACAACTCTCAAAGGTGATGTGTAGGTGTGCTTGTTTTTGAAGGAGAAAAAAGAAAAACTATTAAATATGTAAATGGCTGAGCCCATAAAACTTGGGAAATTTTCATTTGTAGGAAAACTTGATACGGCGATTCTAATGAAATTATTGCTTTTCTGAAAATACGTAGTTTTTTTTCTTTTGTGGTATTGGGGATGGAACCCAGGGCCACACATGTGCTAGGCAAATCGGGTGTAGAGTCTGCCTGTACACTCGATTTGATAAAGAATTTTTTTAAAAGTTTCCAGAGACAAAGCAGATATCCTGAGCTGGGGATATAGCTCAGTGGCACAGTGCATGCCTGGCAAGCGTGAGGTCCTGAATTTGATTCTTAGTACCAAAAAAACAAAAAAAAGCAGATATCCTTATACAGTTGATACTCATAAGACTAAAAAGGCCATTGAAAAATGACCTCTGTAAATACTTACTATAAATTCTGCCAGGTTGCTTTTTTAATTCTATGGTACTGGAAATTGAGCCCAGAACCTTTGCACTGAGCTGTATCCCCAGGGCCTACCCCCTCCTCCAATTTTCATGGTCTTGCTAAATTGTGCAGGCTGTGCTTGAACTTGCCATCCTCCTCTCAGCTTCCCAAGTAGCCCCACTTATATATAGATGAGTGCCGCTGAACCTGGCTTTAACGTGCTGCCAAATTTCTTCTGTCCATCCATCCTTCCTTTGCATTTTTTCTTTTTTACTGATACATTTTGGATATACATAATGATCACATCCATCATAGAGAATTTGTATTTGTACATATATCTGGATTCTTCATTTTTTTCCCATTCTCCTCCCAGGCCATGCAACCCTTCTTTCCTCTTTCTTTTCTTTCTTTTTTTTTTTTTTTTTTTTTTTTTTTTTTTGAGGCAGGGTCTCGCTATGCAGTTTAGCCCACTTTGTAGCCCAGGCTGGTCTTGAACTTGCTACAATCCTCCTGCCTCAGCCTCCTGAGTTCTGGGATTACAGTCATGCACCACCATGCCCCGCTTCCTTTCCTTACTTACAAAAGCTTTGTTTCTATTTTTTTTCTTAAGGATAAATAGTTCCTGTCTTTTTTTTTTTTCTTTTCCTTCCCTTTTTTCCCTTTTCTTTTTCCCTTTCTGTCCTGAGATTACGTTAAGCTCCAATGGCAGCTGTTAAAATTGCCCATGCTGGACTCAAACCTGTGATCCTCCTGCTTCAGCCTCCCAGAGTGCTAGGATTATAGGCCTGTGCCACCACACCCAGTTCCTGTGTTATTTAACCTATTCCAGAATATAGGGAAAGAGGGAGAATAATAGATTTCCAAGCTCACTCAAGATTATTACATTTCTGGTACCTAAACTTGAAGTGAATACTACAAAAAAACAAAAGTGGAAGGCGGGCAAGGGCAACAGCTCTGATACCGTGTTCAGTGTGTGTGTGTGCGTGCGTGCATGCATGCAGCCCTGGGTGTGCTCACTGGCAGCCCCAAAGCAAAACCACCCATTTCACACATGCATGGATAGAAAGTCCTACTGAACTTCATAACTGAAGTCCAGCAGTGTATTAAACAAATAAATGTATTGTGGTATCTACACTGGGCTGTTTTGTAGGTCAGAGAAAATATCTTGGGGATGTGTTTGATACAATTAAAAGTAATTTTAATAACTGTAGACTGGGTGTGGTGGCACACGCGTGATCCCAGCATTCAGAAGGCCAGCCTGAGCCACATAGTGAGACCTGTCTCTAAAAACAAAAACGAGGGGCTGGGGGTTTAGCTCAGTGGCATAAGCACCTGCCTTGCAAGCAGGTGGTTGTGAGTTCAATCCCCAGTACCAATAAAAAGTTAAAAAAAAAAAAAAAAAAAAAAACATGAAAAAACCTCAGTAGAGAAGAATGCTGGATTTCATGTAGTGAACTAAGAACCTTCAGGATGATTTTTAATGAAATGTTGGTGCCTAGTAATATCCCATAATACTATAGAGGGGCACAGTTTGTAAAATGGGGTTTTCTAAGGATATTGAAACAACTGAGATGAAATTCAGAGGGTTGCGTGTCATCCACTATCTCATTCTATCACAGCTGGCATTGTTTGGTTTCCCTGTGGCCACATTAAGGGCCAGACTAGGGCAGGAGTGCTGGCTCCACCTCCACGCTACTGTGTGGTCCTGTGGGCCTCCATAGGTGAGATGCCAGGACAAAGATGGAGTAGACTCGTGGTTTATGAAGTGTAAGATTGTGTACCCTGAACACGACCTGGATGCTCAAAAGCAAAACATTGAGAGAACTTGGGTGAGGTGACAAGGTCTGGATAAAAGTACAAAAACCATACGCGCAAATAAAAAATGCAGTGGATGTGAACTAGGCAGTTGTGCATTTAATAAGAATATGCAAGGTAGTATGAATAAAGGTAACATCTTGTTAAAAGAGATGGGTGTAAATAGTAAGAAAATAGACTATATGAACAGAAATTAATGTAATTATCTAGTTTGTATCCTAAAAATTCAATGAAACGACCATCAGTTTCAGTGAGACTTAAAGGAACTTGTCCAGCTAATATGAAAGATTTGAAAAAGTAAATTCACAAGTATAATAAACATTTGAAAAAAAAGTAGGATCAGAGGGTTGGCATACCATATTTTGACATAAAAACACAATATAGGTGTATTGATGCAGGGATACATCAGTCAACAAAATTTAGAACCAAATGTACAGTCATAGTGACACATGCTTATTCATAGCATGTGATGTCAGTGAGGAAAGGATAGACTCAAAAGAGAACATGGTGGCACAGGTCTGTAATCCCAGCACACAGGAGGCTGAGGCAGGAGGGTCATTGCAAGCTTGAGGCCAGCCTGAACAACAGACAACAGAGCAAGACTCTGTCCAAAAAAGCAAAACAACAAGGGGCTGGGGATTTAGCTCACCGGCATAAGCGCCTGCCTTGCAAGCAGGCAGTCGCGAGTTCGATCCCTGGTACCGATGAAAACAAAAAAGACAAAAAAAAAAAAAAAAAAAAAAAAGCAAAACAACAACAAAGGCACACAAAACCTATCACATGTCTAAGGCATGAGAGTGTTAGGCTCTACAATAGACTTGTAATCAAATAATCATCTGGGGGTAAAATGTTCTACTTAGAACTGTAAGGTTTAATTTTCTTGAGACAATATCAAGAAAAATACAGGAGACTATTTTAATAATTGGAGTCAGGAAGACAAAGTTAAGAAATCCAAGAGTCTTAAGAAAGTTGGAAGGTTTGACATGTTAAAGTTCCTAAGTAGTCCAGGTGTGAGGTGCCAGCAGGTAACAAGAGGTTGCGGTGGGAGGACTGAAGGGAGGCCAGCTGGGGCCTCACAAAATAAAATGGAATGGACCTCAGTAGAAGAGTCCCCGATTCGATCCCCAGTACCACTCGATAAGTTCAAAATGTATGGCTGAAGATACATCATAGATTGTAAAAGTAACAGTGGGAGAAAAAAACTTAACACTGATGCATAACATGAGGATTAATACCCGTAGCACACAGTAAGATAGGGAAATAGAAACCAGGCAAGAAACGTGTTGTGAGTTAAGCGCCCTAGGTGCCAGGCTTAATGTGGGCGAAGATACGGAAGTTAATGGTAGTCCAACAGAGCAGCAGCAGATGCGGTATATCATCACCCCCGTAGAGGTTTTTTCCCTTTGTTTTGTTTTAGGTTTTTGGTTTGTCTTTTTTTGGCAGTCTCGCTATGTAGCCCACACTGGCTTTGAATTATCTGTCTAGCCTAGGTTGGCTTTGGAGGATCCTCCTACCTCAGCTTCCGGAGTGAGGACAGGGATTACAGGCATGCACCACCATGCCTGACCCCATGTAGTTTTCTTTATGCCCCAGATTTCATAGAGCACTGTGCTGTCACCAGTGACTTTGATATAAGGCAAGTTTTTGCTGGATCTATGGTAATGCATTTGGCAGCTGAGCAAGACCCTGTCTCAAAAACAATAGAACTGGGGTTGTAGCTCAGTGAAAAGGCACTGCGTTGAATTCCCAGTACTGCAAGAAGAGGCAGGCCAGTGGGGTGGTGCTGGGACGTGCATTGGGCCCAGCTAGTAGAGCACTAAAGTATCAGCCAGGCCCTGAGTTCATTCCTCAATAAAAATAAAAAATTTATAATGAGCATTGATGAGGATAGATTATTGGTGAAAATGTAAACTGGTACATTCTTTGAAGAGGCTGTTTGAGTCTATCAAGATGTATTAGGTGGGCGTGGCAGTGCATGCCTGTAATCCCAGCACTCAGGAGCCTGAGGCAGGCAGGTTGCCTTAAATTCAAGTCCAGCCTGAGCTGCATAGTGAGTTCAAGGCCACCCTGGACTGCACAGTGAGACTCTTGTCTCAAAAAAAAAAAAAAAAGATATATTAATCATTTTCACCTGATTGGCACAAAATGCCTGACAGCAGCATATGGTAGTGCATGCCTATAATCCTAGTGTTCACTTGGGAAGCTGAGCCAGGGGGATCACTGTGAGTGGAAGGCCAACTTGGGCCCATAAGAGAGCTCAAGACCAGCCTATTGAAGCCCTGTCTCAAAAAACCAAAATAACAACACCAAAATACCCAATGCCTGAAACTTAAAGGAGAACTTTATTTCAGCTCATGGATTTAATCCAGGTTCACAATGCTGAGATTCTGTCTCTCCCTGGAAACAATGGCTATTATCAAGAAATCAACCAATAACAAATGCTGGTGGGGCTGTCGGGGGGGGGGGGACCCTTCTCCACTGGTGGTGAGAGTATAGACTGGTGCAATCACTGTGGAAATCAGTGTGAAGATTCTTCAAAACTAAAATTAGAGGTTCCATTTGTCCCAGCTATTTTCCTTCTTGGTATCTTCCCAGAAGGATTAAAAGCATCATACCACAGCAATATATGCACACCTGTGTTGATTGATAGTGGCACAGTTTGTAATAGCTACATCTTGGAAACAGCCTAAATACCCATCAACTGGTGAATGGACAAAGAAGATGCAGGGTTTTTATTTATTTTGTCTTTTTAAGACAGAGTCTCGCTATGCAGTTTAGGCTGGCCTTGAACTTTATAGCCCAGGCTGGTCTCAAACTCTGGACAATCTTCCTGCATCAGCCTCCTAAGTGCTGATATCACAAGTGGGCACCACCATGCCTGGCTTTTATTTTTAATATACGGTGGAGTACTACTCTGCCATAAAAAATAAGCTTGAGACATTTCTAGCTAAATGGATGTGCCTTGAGACCATACTCTTAAATGAAGTAAGTCAGACACACGTGTAAACAACTGCATTGTTTCTGTGGTGTGAGAAACAGAGTGTAGATAAGGACCAAAATGTATAATAGGTATTGTGAAATAGGAAGAAAATATTCAAAATGGGGAGGAGAACAAGAGGGGGAGAGGGAGGAAAGAAAAGTGAAAAAAGATAAAACAGAAACAAAGCATTTATAAATGGGGAGGGAGGAGGGGTTGAAGGAAGAGCAGGGGAATGGGGGGGGACCAAGTTGTATCACGTACAGGTACAAATTCCCTATGATGAAGGTGATCATTATGTATATCTAAAATGCACCAATAAAATAAAAATGATGAGGTGGTGCAGCTTGCAGTAGCTGGAGTCAAGAGACCAAAACTCAGGGTCTTGGCTTATTGCCTCACAAGGGGACATCAGTGGCATCCCCAGCAATGGAGAGCAGGGGCACCCGGCTTAGGAAGGACTGGGGAGGCGCCTGTGGCTGGGGACCAAGGCCACACCCGGTGTTCAGCAGCGGCTCGGCTCCGTAAGGAAGGACCCGGAGTCGCAGCGGGGGTGGGGCCGGGAGAGCGCAGCAGGAGCCAGGATGCAGGACTCTGGTGACTTCCTGGGCCCCATGGCCAACGTGGACAGGGAAGAGCAGCGTCGTGCGCTGGTAACCCACGTCAAGGTGGGCAGATAGTCCCTCAGCAGGCCGGGAGGCCCTGGCTGCCAGGCTCCACTAAATAAGCTCCACTACCGGTGTACCCTCCCTCCCCCCAGGCGCAGCCGCTCGCACCCCACCGAAGCTCGTGCAGCAGCTGCAGCGACTGCGGAGTCAGCGCCCCCTGCCGTTCCCCCAGCCCGTCCAGCTCCGAGTCAGTCCAGCTCCCGCCCTGCAAGGGGTTATGGAGGAAGCCTGGGGGCAAGGGAAGCCCTGAGGCCGCACCCCCGCCCCGGATGCCCAGGACACTTTGGAATGTTTTTTTTTTTTTTTTTTTTTTGACACTTTGGAATGTTCTCGATCTCCACCAGGACCCCCATATTTCAGGAGGAAGAGGGACTTCTCTAAGAACCGGGACAAGTCAGGCCCCTGGCATGCTGGGCTCCAACTTGAGATCCTCCTGCCTGTCTCCCTCAGTACTGGGGTTACAGATGACACCTCGCCCATCTACTTTTTTAGTATTTTTTATTTAGATTTGAGGTCTTGCCAAAATATCTACACTGCTCGAATGTCCAATCTGCCTGGCTTCCCGGAGTTGCTGAGGTTATGGGCTACACCACCATGTCCAGCTCTTGTTTATTTTGCACAAGGCCTCACTAAATTGTCCAGGCTGGCCTTGAATTTGGAATTCTCTTGTCCTGCCTCAGCCTCCCGAGTAGCCAGGGTTACAGGCATGTGCCACCTCATCCTATTCAGTTTTCCTTATTTTTGCTTTGTTGTTGAGATAGGGTGTTACTAGGCTGGTCTTGAACTCAGTAAGTAGCCCAGACTATAACTCGAATGATCCTTCTGCTTCAGCCTCTCCAATGCTGGGATTACAGGGGTGCCGTCACCACGCCCAGCTAATGCTCCCCCCCCTTATTTAAGAAATCTTCCTCACATGGCCATGAGGGCATTCTGTAATCTTCATATTCTGCCCGCCACAAGAAGCTGCCCTGTAGAATAGACTATGTATGGTGTGGGGTAGAGATTCCCCCTCTGTGGATTTCCAGCTGAGAACCCAGAATTGCTTTATCATAAATCGAAGCTCACTCTAAAAAAAAGAAAAAGAAAAAAGGAAGGAAGGAAGAGAAAGAAAGATGACAGGCGAGCGTGGCAGAGAAAAAATGGTCCATTGGCAGCCAGGAAGCAGAGAGGGGAGGGAGGATGGCAAAGTGCGGGCCACGCCCTCGGGGCCGCCTCCAACCAGCACAGTCAGCTCTGAACTCCGCGATGGGGAACCCCAGCGAGTACAGCGCCTCTGACCGAGTCACTACACACACACAGACAGACACATGTACGCGAGACTTGGGGAACGTTTGACATCTAAGCCATGACACAAGATTGAAACTGAAAGTGTCTCACCCTTTGACCCAGAGTTTCACATCAGGGAATGAGTCATACAAAATACTTGCTCATGTTCACAGAGATATATAGAGAGATATATATGTTTATTTCAGCAGTTTTCCTTCCTTTTTTATTTGTTAGTTATTCTTTGAGAAAAGGTTCTGCTATGTGTAACTCAGGCTGACCTCAAACTTATGATCCTTTTGTCTCAGCCTTCCGAGTGCTTGGATTACAGAAAGTCTGTGCCAGCAGGATGAAGGATCTGTGCTAGTAAATTAAGGGTTCTGTACTGGAGCCAGAAAACAATGCTCAAAGTAAGGACCAGGGCTCCCTTAAAAAGTCCCACAGCCATCCTCAGTGACAAAGAGATCCCAAGCTCCTCCAGTGGTGAGAACAGTGGAGTTCATAATGGGAAAGAAGCTCAACAAACTCCTCCAGGAGAACCAATGGCAACAGGAGAATCAACAAGGCTACTGCTTCCTCTCCAGTTCTCCTTTTAATAGTGGCAACAGTCCTCAGGGGGGCTATCCACACTCTGCACCATGCTGATTCAGTTCAAGTGGCCCACCAGTTGTCAATCCATTACAGTAGATGATAGTGTCCCATCGTAGTTTTTGTTGTTTTTTTGAGACAGGGTCTTGCTATGTAGTTTAGGCTGGTCTTGAGCTCACTTTGTAGCACAGACTGGTCTCAACTTGCAATGATTCTCCTGCCTCAGCCTCCTGAGTAATGGGATCCCATTATAGTTTTAATTTGTATTTCCTGATGACTAATGATGCTGAGTATCTTTTCATGTGCTTATTAACCAGTCATATTTCTTTGGTGAAATGTGTATTCAAATCTTTTGATTTTTTTTTCTGCAGTCTTCATGTATGTTAGGCAAATACCACATTCCTGGTAAAATTTTTGCTCATTCTGAAAATTTGGTTTCTTTTTTTTTTTTTTTTTTTTTTTTTTGAGACAGGGTTTTGCTATATAGCTAGGCTGGGCCTTAACTTTTTGCCTCAGCCTCCCAAGTGCCACCATGCCTGTCATGTTTTTGTATTTTTGTTATCAAAGTGCTGGGGATTGAAACTAGGACCTCATGCATGCTAGGCAAGTGTTCAACCATTGGGCTGAGCTACCTTCCTAGCTCTGGGGTATTTTTTTAATTTAAATTTTATTGAAATACCATGCACATGCCATAAAACTTGTCCTTTTAAAGTGTATCATTCACAGTGTATGTACCATTGTTGCCTATTGATTGATGTGTTTTGAAATTTGGGGGGGGGTCTTTTTTTTCTCTTTGAAATAAAATGGACTTGAAAAAAAAGTATATCATTCAGTCCAGACATGGTGGCACACACCTGTAATCCCAGCATTTGAGAGGCTGAGGTAGGAGAGTTACGAGTTTTAAGGCCAGTCTAAACTTCATAGTGAGTTCAAGATCAACCTGAGCTACACAGTGGCACTCTGTCTCAAATAACAAAACAAAAATCCCAAAGATAAATAATTCATTGATTCTAGCAGGGTGTAGTGGCACACAGCTGTAATCCCAGCACTCAGGGGTTAAAATCAGGAGGCTTGCCATGAGTTAGAGACCAGCCTGGGCTACATAGTGAGTTCAAGGCCAGCATGAACTACATAGCAAGATCCTGTCTCAAATAAAACGAAACAAAACCAGGAAACCCATATCCATAAGGAAGTCATTCCTGATCTTACAACCACACCCTAGGCCCTGGCAACCACTGATATACCGTTGTATCTGTGGACTTGTCTGTTCTACACCTTGTATAGATGGAATCATGTGTATGTGGCCTGGTCCATCTGGAGTCTTTCCTTTAACAATACTGGCAAGGTGCACCCACGTTGTGGCATGTATCAGTATACATTATTAGTTTTCAGAGCAGTTGTACACAACACCACAAACTGGGTGAGTTAACCAATAGAGATTTATTCTGATAGTCCTGCAGTCCAGAAGTCTAATCTTACATGATAAATCATTTGCAACACAAAAGTTTTTAATTTTAATGAAACCCAGTTTATTTTTTCTTTTGTCACTCTGCTTTTGGCATTATATCTAAGAATCAAGCCATTGCCAAATCTTGGATTATGATTTGCTCTTATGTTTTCTTCTAAGAGTTTTATAGTTTTAGTTCTTACCTTTAGGCTTATGCTGAATTTGGAGTTGCTTTTTTGCATTGTGTGAGCAGTAAGTCCACTTTATACTTTTGTGTGTGTGTGTGTGTGCGCGCGCGCGCGTGCGTGCGCGCACTCGCAGTACTAAGGATTGAATGTAGGACTCCATGCTGAGCTACATCCTCATCCCTTTTTAAATTTTCTGTTTTGAAACAAGACCTTGATAAGTTATCTATACTGGGCTCCAATTTGTGAGCCTCTTGCCTCAGCCTCCCAGAGCACTGGGATTACAGGTGTATACCACTGTGCCTGGTTTTGGATTTTGATGCTATCATTTATACTGAAGGAGCTCTTACTCTTTACTCTTTCTTTCATTTTTTTTTGGACCAGGGATTGAACTCATGACCTTGCATTTGTCAGGTAGGCACTTATGCCACTAAGCTAAATCCCTGGCCCTGTCTTTACTTTCTTGTAAAGAAATGTGATACAGTGTAGGCCACCTTCCAAGAGAGGGCCTTGCAAAGTTGCCAAGCTGGCCTTGAACTTTTGCTCCCTGCCTCAGCCTGCTGAGCATCTGGGGTCCCAGGCGGGCACTACTGCCTGGCTCCAACTCCATACTTTTGCACATGGATATCCAGTTGACTCAGTGCCATTTGTTGAAAAGCCTATTGTTTCCCTCATTAGACTGTTTGAGACCTTCTGAAAATCTGTGAAATATAAAGGCTTATTTTCAAACTTTTAATTCTATTCCGCTGATCTAGACACCTTTTGTATGACCGCAGTATGTTATCATCTTAGTTACTATAGCTTTGTAGTAAGTTTTCAAATTGAGGCATATGAGTTCTCAATTCTTGTTCTGTTTTGGGTTATTTTGAACCTCTAGCATTTTCACATGCATCTTACAATCAGTGTATCTACTCCCTCAGAACAAAACAATTTGGGATTTTCCTAAGGATTTCATTGAATCTGTGAATGAATTGGGGCATACTGTCCGCTTGACAATGTTTCCCATACATAAACATGGTATATCTCCCTCTTTTATTTAGATTTTCTTTAGTTTTTTTCTTTTCTAGTACTGGAGATTAAACCCAGGACATTCACACTGATAGACATCTCCAGCCCTTTTTATTCTTTATTTTGAGACAGTATCTTTCTTTTTTTTTTTTTGTCTTTTTCCTTTTTATTGGTACCGGGGATCGAACTCACAACTGCCTGCTTGCAAAGCAGGCGCTTATGCTGCTGAGCTAAATCCCCAGCCCCTAGTATCTTTCTAAATTGCCCCAGTGGGACTCAAATTTGTGATCCTTCTGCCTCAGTCTCCCTTATTGCTGAGATTACCAGTGTGGATCACCATGCATGGCTTTCGTTAACTTCTTTCAGTAGTGTTTTGTAGTTTTCAGTGTGCAAATATTGCATTTATTTTCTTAAATTTAAACCTACCTATTTTCCTTTTACTGTTATTACCAATGAGATTTTTCCCCCTTAACTTGATTTTGACTTCTTCATTGCTAGTATATAGAAATACAGCTGATTTTCCTATATTGATTTTGTATCTAACCACATTGGTGAATTTGTTCATTGGTTCTAATGCATTTTTTGGTAGATTATTTAGGATTTGCTGTATTTGAGACTACATAGTGTGCACACAGAAAAAGTTTTGCTTCTTTTTCCAATACAGGTGCCTTTTATTTATTTTTTGTGCCCAATTGCCCTGTCTGGAACCTTTACTACAGTATTGAATAGCAGTAGCAAGAGTAGATATCTGCAAGCTTGTTTCTGATTCTACGGAAAAAGTGTTTAACATGTCTGCATCTGGGATGTTAGCTTTGTGGTTTTCATAGATACCTTTTCCTTGTCCCCTCCTCTTTTTTTGAGACAAGGCCTGGCTTTGTAATTCAAGCTGGCCTTGAACTCACGGTGATCCTCCTGCCTCAGCCTCCTGAGTGCTGGCATCACAGACATGTGCTGCCACACCTGGCCCTTGTCCCACCTTTAATGGGCTAAAAGTGGCTGTTTGGTTCAGGTGTTTCCAGCGTGGTACTTGCTTTATGATAAGACTCTTCCTTTACCTTTCTTTCTCAAGGTTTTAACATTCAGTGATAACTGTAACCTAAGTTTACAACTTCCTGAGGAGTGGCAGAATGTTGATTTTTCTATTTTACTTTTTCTGCATTTTTTGGCTGGACGACTTCTATAAAGAGGCAGTGTTTCCCAGTTTGCAGAGTTATGAGCTGGCAATCTAACACAGTGAGGTGTGCTGACATGATCTCTGTGAGCTCCACATTATATATGTTACATATTTCAATTGATTATATCGATTACAAGTCTTATTTCTTTCTTGTTAATACTTTTCTTTTGTGGTACTGGGGAGTGAACCCAGAACCTCTGCAGTGAGCTACATCTCCAGGTCTTTTTTTTTTTTTTTACTTATTTTTATTTGGAGATGAAGTTTAGATAAGTTGCTAAATTGCTCAGGCTGGGCTAGAACTTGCAATCCTTCTGCTTCCTACCATCATTTCTCATGCTCAAATTATCCCTTATTTGGCCAGTAGGATCCCCTGAAGGAGACACTTAGGCCTTGCTGATTACATCCTTGCTAGTTGTCCCAGCTTTTCCCCACGATAAATGTAATCATTATGTATCATTAGTGCAGCAAACTCGCTCAAAAAAATTAGACCCTCCCCCAAAGATTTAATCATAAAATGGGCAACCAAAACAAATAGTCACTTCACAGAAGTACAATTGGCTGATAAATACATGAAAAAATGTTTGGCATTGCTGGCCATTCCAGAAATGCATTTGAAAACACCGAGATGCTATCTTACTCTAGAAAGAATGACTATCATCAAGAAATCAGATAACAGTAAATGCTGGCAAGGATGTGGGGGAAAAGCAATCTTTCTACCTTGTTGGTGGGAATGTAAAGTAGAACAACCACTATTGAAATCAGTGTGGAAATTCTCAAAAAATTAAAAGTAGAAATTCCATTAGATCCAGCTAGTCCTCTTCTAGATATCTTTCTGAAAGAGTGAAAGTCAACATGTTACAGTGATACGTGCATACCTATGTTTACAGCAGCACAATTTATGATAGTTAGATCTTGGAAGCAGTTTTATATGTCCATTAACAGATGAATGGATAAAGAAAATGTGGTATTTATACACAATGGAGTACCACCCTGCCACAAAGATAACTTGAGGCACCATGCCCTGATGGTTCATAGCAGTATTATTAGGAACAAGCAGAGAGTGGTGAGAGCACACCTGTAATCTCATATACTCAGGAGGCTGACACAAGTGGATCACAAGCTTGAGGTCAACCCGTGCAACTTGGTGAGACTCTGACCTCAAATAAAATAAAAAACAAAGGGCCAGAAGCCAGGTGTGCTAAAGGACCTCCTACTTTTTCAACAGCCTCCACCACTGGTGCATTTGTTATAAGTGATGAGGCTACAGTGACAGCCATAAGTAATCCAAGTCTACAGTTTACATTAGGCTAGGTGTGGGTGTGCATGCCCGTGACCCCAGCACTCGGGAAGCTGAGGCAGGAGGATGGCCATGAGTTCAAGACCTGCCTGGGCTACGGAGAGTTCAAGCTCAGCCTAAACTACATAGTGAGACCCTCTCTCAAAAAGCCAAAAAACAACATATGGGTTTGATCTTGGAGCTGTGGATAATGTGACTTTGGACAGATGCATAATGACATGTACCGAGCATTATAATACACACAGAGATTTTCACTCTCCTAACATGTTGTATTTTTATCCTCTAAATTTCCATTTGGTTATTTTTACAATTTCTTTTTACTCTGCTGAGAACTATATTTTAATTTATTTAAAGGCTGTTTTCCTTTACCTCATAGAGCATAATGGCAATAACTGCTTTAAAGTCTCTGTTAATTTCAACATCTGTGTCATCTCAGATTGAACATCTGTTGAATGTCTTTTCCCTTGAGGGTTATTGACATTTTCTTGATTCTCTGGCATGCCAAGTAATTTTGAATCGCATGCTGAACATTTGGAATACTCCATTGTGAGTCTCTGGGTCCTATCAAAATCCTCTAGTGAATACAATTTTTTTAAGTCAGGCAATCAACCTGGCTAGGCTCACAATGTATTTCTCTCTTGTCTAGGCATGCTTCTTCTGATTCGGCCCAGTTTCCAAGCAGCCTGTGCTGCTTTGGGTTTATTTGACATGTGGCCTACCCACGCATTAGTTTGAATGGTCCTTATTTATTATTTTTGCATTACTGGGAATAGAACCTGGGGTCTTCACCCTAACCCTACATCCCCAGCCCTTTTCATTTTTATTTGAAACAACGTCTTGCTAAGTTGCCCAGGCTGGGTTTGAACTTGTCATCCTCTTGCCTCAGCCTCTTGAGTGCTGCGATTACAGGCATGCACCACTGTGCCTGAGCTGGGTTTTAGATCATAGTTCAGTTCTCAAAATCACGGCTGTGTTGTTTTGAATCTGACCCACGTGTGCCCATCTTAGAGGTGAGCCTGAGGTTTGTGTTGAATTACACACACAATTAAAGGGGCCTCACCAGGCGTGGTGGCAGCATGCCTGTAATCCCAGCATTTGGGAGGCTGAGGCAGGAGGGTCGATGTGACGTTGAGGCCAGCCTAGGTTACATAAACCAGTTCAAGGCCAGCCTGCACTACACAGCCAGACCTTGTCTCAAAAATAACAATACAAACAACAGTAAAACAACAACCAAAAATAAAGGGGCCACTTCTCTTCGTGACTCACACCATTCTGCTTTCAGGGCCCCATTTTCTGAGTCCTCTGCTAGAAAGACGAGGTTCCTTGAGTTTTTCCTCCTTGCACTGTCTATAGCAGCTCTGATCAATGGTAGAAGAGTCTAAAGCAGGGGGATATGGAAAACTCACCCCTGCAGGAGAGACTTCAAGTTTTGCTTCCCTTCTCAATCCATCTCTCTTGCTGGCTTTTCAGAATTCCCAGTCTTTTATGTTTCTCCAGAGATTTTAGTTGTTGTAAGACATAACTGGGCATAGTGGTACACACCTGTAGTCTCAATATGCAGGAGGCTGAGGCAGGAGGATCACTGAGAGTTCGAGGCCAGCCCAGAGTACATAGCAATACCCTGTCTCAAAAAAACAAAGGGCAACCCACTCAGGACTCCTTGTCTTTCAGGAACTATTCCTATTGCCCAATAAATTTTCCTACTCAAAAAGTAGATGACATAGACTTTAGAGGCTTATCCCATCTGGTCATGAACCAGAAATTAGTACATTTGTAATATTTATTTTAATGAGTCCATGAGTGGTAAATTTCACTTATCTGTTTGTCTGTGTCTCTATTTCACCTTTAGAAGGCAAATTTACCTAGGTATAAAATCCTAGGTTGCTAATAATTTCCCCTTTTCACTTTGAAAATTTTATTCCAGTGTCTAATGGCATCAGTTAGTGGCTACTAATGATTTATTTTCATTTTTGTTGTGATGCCTCCTATCTCTAGTGGCTTTTAAGATTCTCTTTATCATTGATGTTTTGCAGTTTTATTTCACTGTGTAAAAAAAAAAAAAAAAAAAAAAAAAAAAAAAAAAAAAAACTAGTACCTGCAAGACCAGACATGCAAGCCTGTAATCCCAGCTACTTGGGAGGGTGAGGCAGAAGGATTACGAATTGGGGACCAACCCTTGCAGTTTAGCAAGACTCCACCTAAAAGTGAAAAAAATGAAAAGAGGTCAGGGTGTGTAGCTCAATTGTAGAGTACTTGCTTAGCACACAAGAGACCCTGGGTTCGTTCAATTCTGGTGCAGACAAAAAGAAAAAGAAAAAGGAAAAACCAAAAACAAGACTCCTAAACTCTAAATGTCCTCTAGAGGGCAGTATCACTCCTGCTATATCTACCGCTCCCAGCTACTGTCTCCAACTGAAATTGTTTCAGGGCTAGAGACTGATGATGGGTTGTGACATCTGGACTGCAGATGTCCTTTCTCATGATTTCAAAAGCCAGACTAATCCTTTTTGTTCTGTGTTGTTTTGTTTTGAGACAAGGTCTTTTTATATTGCCCAGGCTGGCCTTGAACTCACGATCCTACCTTGGCCTCCCACATAGACTAAATGACATGAATTTTGAAGTTTTAAAATACAGATTGAGTTCAAAGTCAACCTGAGCCACATAGCAAGACCCTGTCTCAAATAAACAACAACAGCAAAATACAGGTTATAACTACAGTCCCCATGATCCTCATTTCTGGGTTTATGTTTCATATATATATATATATTTTTTACTTTTGAAAATCTGCACCTTTCACAAACATTTTGGCTTTCTTCACTGTTGGCTTGCTTTGCATTTCCTTATTTTTAAAAGATATTTAAATACATTTCACCATAACTGAAAGACACACCATCGCACTGGATCCTGTGGCCCTGTACACCCCTTCCTCCCTCCATTCGGCCATTCATTTATTTAAAACACATGGAGCTAACTACACCAGGCTCTATGCTAGGCTTAGAGATAGAGTTCAGTAAAACTCAGACCCTTCCCTCACGGCTTCCTCCACCTCCCGAAGGCAATATGAATCCAGAGAAAATGATTTCAAGCCACAGCTAGAACCGAGGTGTGTATGTATATATTTATATACTGGGGATTGAACTTGTACATGCTAGGCAAGCACTGTATCACTGAGCTGCATCCCCAGCCCCTGAAACTGAGTTTAAGCAACGTATGAAGTTGTGCTAGAAAAGTCAGACTACCAGGCAAGGTTCATGCTTGGTGAGCCCAGCACTTGGGAGGCTGAAGAATTGTGAATTTGAACCTAGCCGCCTGGGCCATGTAGGAAGCCTGAGGCCAACCCGGACTACATGGCTGGAGCCTGTCTCAAAAAGCCATACACTTGTGCACATACACAGTCTATGAGTCTTTGACTTAAATCAGCCTGTCTGTCTCTGTCTTTGTTTCTTCCTCTCCCCTATCCTCTCTCCTTTTCTCCCTTTCCCCTCCCCCTCCCCCTCCCCCTCTCTCTTCCTCTTTGTATCTGTTTTCCTGGCTGTACTGGGGACTGAACCCAGGGCCTTCACTCTGAGCTACATCCCCAGTACTTTTGTTTTCTTTTTCTTTTTCTTTTTCTTTTAATTTTGAGATAAGGCCTAGCTAAGTCTCTAAATCACCCAGGCTAATCCTCCTGCCTCAGCCTCACAGAGTGCTGACATTACAAGAGTGTACCACCACACCTGGCTCAGATTATTTCTTAATGGTGGTTCCGATATATTTGTTCAGGAGAATTTATCTATTGTTCCTTGAGTTTTTACAAAGCTGGCTCAGTTATTTTCCATACAATACATTACAGGGAGAGATTTCACAATATTTATTGTCAAGCTTCATTCCATAGAAAAATTGTTACTGGAAATGTTACTTTTGGGAAACATTATTTTGTCAGGCTGATTTATTTGTTCTATAACAGCATGTGTTAAATGATGTACTTGAAAGTAATACGAGAGTATTCCAAATGAATCTGAGTAATTTTTCTTTTATCAATATTAATAGCATTTCAAGTGAACATTTAAAAACACCTACTTTTCAAGGAGAAATATTAACATATAAATTTACGTAATTTTTAAACTTACTTACATAATTTTTTCGTGCCATACTGAGGGTTGAAAATAGAGTCTTCGAGGTTTGATTATTTATTTTTATTTTGAGACAAGTTCTTGCTAAATCACTAAATTGCCCATGCTGGACTTGAGCTTGCAATCCTCTTGCCTCAGCCTCCCAGAGTGCTGGGATTACTGCCATGTGCCACCACACCTGGCTTAGTCACAAAATATGTTTTAAAAGGAATAATTGATTGACATCGGGGATCTTTTTTCATAACTAGCTGTTTAGGAGATCGAAGTTTGAATTTCTATTTTACATTTATTAAATATAGGAAAAACAGAATTGTATATTTAACTCTTTTGGGATTTTTTTTTTGGGGGGGGGGTTGAGACAGGGTCTTCCTATGTAATTTAGGCTGTTCTTGAACTTACTAGCTGGCCTGAACTCAAGGTGATCCTTCTGCCTCAGTCTTCTGAGTGCTAGGTTTACAGATGTGTGCCACAACACACAGCACCAACACATTAAATGGAGTTGAAAATACTTTTACAAACCTATGATTAAGAATTGCGTAAAAATTATAGCAAAAAAAAAAGATTTGGGTAAATTATCTATTGCTACATAACAGTATTACCATACACTTAGAGGTTTAAAACAAGACATTGTCTTGGTAGGTTTTTTTTTTATAGTGTCTCGCTATGTAGTTCATAAAGGCTGGCCTTGAACTATGTAGCCCAGGCTGGACTCAAATTTGTGGCGATCCTCTTGCCTCAGCTTCCCAATTGCTAGGATTATACAGGCGTGTGCTACTGGCTAAAACCAAGACACATTACTATCTCCTACTTTCTGTGTGTCAGGAGTGTGCCCATGTTCTAGCTAGATGGTTGATTTTGGGTCTCACAAAGCTTCAATCAGTGTCGTCCCCCCCCCCCCCCGCGCAGCGTGCATTGTTGGCCAGAAACTGTATAGCTTGTGCTTAGTATGTGGGAGGCCCTGGGGTTCAATCCCCAGCACCACAAAAAAAAAAAAAAAAAAAAAAATCAAGCTGCAGTCATGTCTGCTTCTGTGCGGGCGGTTGCTGGTACCTTTAGCTCCCGCAGCTCCCGGCTCTGTAGCCCTCTCTGCAGGCGCGTCACAGCTGAAAAACGCAAGGGGCGGCTCCTCCCGGAGCAGCATGGCGGCCGTGACGCAGTCACTCCGACGGTTTGCGCGCGCGCACTATATCTGTGATCAGGGACATCCGGTCACCTGGGCAGGGCACTGCTGAAGAGAAGTAGGTCACGCAGTTCCTCGCACTTTCAAGAAGAGCTCTCTGGGGGCCGTAAACGCCGGGGGAGGGGGGGATCTCGGGGACCACCCTGGGGTCTGTCCACCACAAGCCTGTGTATTTCTTCCAACTCTGCCCGCTGAAATGCTCTAAAAGCAATGTCAGCCTATGCTAATGAACACCACTACTGCTCAGTTTGTGGTCTCTAAAAACCATTTCCCAGGTGCAGCTGGGCTTATTCCAGATCTGGAATAGGGAAAGTACAAGGAGAGCCAGGGATGTTTGATAGTGCTAGAAGTCAATGAAGTTCTTCTGATCGTGACATTTAGACCATTATAAGTGCTACGAGTGGCAATGCATTCAAATGGGATTTATGGGGGCTGGGGATTTAGCTCAGCGGCATAAGTGCCTGCCTTGCAAGCAGGCAGTCATGAGTTCGATCCCTGGTATCGATAAAAAGGAAAAAGACCAAAAAAAAAAAAAAAAGGGATTTATGGCCTATGCACACCTGTAATGCCAGCACTCTGGGAGGCTGAGGCTGGAGGATCACAAGTCTGAGCCCAGCCTGGGTAAAAGGCTGTAACTGCAACATCTAGAAGGAACCAGGCTTGCTGAGGCCTTGATTTCAGTCCAGTAAGACTCATTTCAGACTTCTGACTTCCAAAACTGCAAGAGATGAATTTGTGCTGTTTGGAGCCACTACATTGTGGTAATTTATTACAAGAGCAATAGGACACTAACAGACATTCCCACCCTGCCCCGGAATTCACCCTTGGTGACATCTGAGTGCCCATACATCCCAGATAGCTTCCTGTGCTTATATGTACTTGTTGCAATAATGGACCTCAATTTACATACTATTTTTACAACTTTCTTTTCTGGGGAGCAGTATTGGTGATTGAATGGAGAGATATTCTACCACTGACCTACACCCCGTTTTTATTTTATAATTTTGAGACAGGGTCTCACTAAATTGCCTGGGCTGGCCTTGAGCTTGCAATCTTCCTGCTTCAGTCTCTAAAATAGCTGGGATTACAGACCTGCACCATCATGCCCAGCACCACCTGCATTTTTTTAGTTAATGAACTTCACCTATCTATTTTAATGACTACGCTATTAAAAACATTTCCAGATAATACAAAAATGTCCTTCACACAAATTATTTGGTTCAAACCAAGATCTACCCAAAAATCACAAACATCGTTTTACTATTTATGTTCCTTTTGTTGTGAGATAAAATGGTTTTTGTATTTTCTTTTTTGTTTTCTCACTACATAGTTTAGGCTAGCCTTGAACTCACTATGTAGCCCACACTGGTATTGAGCTCCTGCCTCAACTTCCCAAATGCTGGGGTTACAGGTGTGTACCACTACACTCAACCTCAAGATTCTTAATTTAGGACTGAGGATATAGCTCAGTGACACAGCACCTGCCTGGCAAATGCAAAGCTGTGAGTTTGATTCTCAGTACCAGGAGGAAAAAAATTCTTAATTTAGTTACATCTTCAGAGTTCCTTTTGTCAGGTGAAAGTTCCAAGGATTAGGTTGTAAAGATGCTTAGGGGTCCATTCTTCTGTCTTCCATACTTTTTTATTTTTGCATCTGCATTTTTCTAACTTTATGTAACTTGCATGAATTACTTAAAATGTGTAAGTTAAACATAAAACTAGTATCCTTTACTACCAATGGAGGTGTACCAGTTAATTTTAACTGTCAATTTGACTAAATGAAGAGACTCCTGGCAGACTAGTAAGGCACACTTCTGGGTGTGTCCATGTGGGTCTTGGAGGCGTGACTGTGGGTATCAGACAAGTCCCCTGGGCCCCTCCTCTCTGGCACCATTCCCCTGCTCCAGTCTGCTTCTGGCTGCCATGAGGTGACAGCTTTGCTCCACCAAGCCCTTCCACCATGCTGTTTCTGCTTTGGAACCAACTGACAAGGACTGAAACAGAGAGCCAAATTAAACCTCTCTTCCTTTAGGTTTTGAATGTCAGGTATTTCATACCAGCCACAGGAAATCTGACTATTAACTGTCCAGCTCAGTGAAGCTGAAGCATATTTATTCATCTACTTTCTTAGTTTTTCTTTATACTAAGTCAGAAAATTCCCGTTCACACCTATGCATTACCAGAATTGGCCACACATTTTTGGTCAGAGACTTCTGTCTGTTGGCCTGACTGGGGATCCATACATGGAGGAGTCACTTCTGTTCAGTGTTGTCCTAAACACTAGGTGGGTGAAGTATCAGACTCCAATTCTGCCATTGTAAATGTTTTATCTCTATGTACTTTGTTTTGTTTTGTTTTTGTCTTTTTCCTGTGCCACTGAGCTAAATCTCCAGCCTCTCCATGTACTTTGAAAACCTGGGTACTATTTTGGCATTTCAGTGATTGACAGGAATCTCTTGGCATTTAGTGAGCAGGACCAAGAATGTCCTGTGTTCTTTGATGCATGTGACATTCCCACAAGGAAGACTTTTCCTATACTTTTCATGATTTTCTTTTTTTTTAGGGGTACTAGAATCAAACTCAGGACCTTGCCCTGTGCTGCTGAGCTATATCCTTGGCTCCATGATTTTCAAAATTTTCCCAAACATTTCTGTACATGAAAATATATTTGTAATTATCTGAGTCTAAATTTAACCCTGTTTTGTAAGTAAACTTAAAGTCCTTTTTTGTTACTGGGGATTGAACTCATGACCTCGAGCTTGCCAGACAGGTGCTTATGCCACTGAGCGAAATCCCCAGCCCTTAAAGTCCTTTTTTTAAAAAAAAAAAAAAAAAACTTATTTTAAAAAATAGAGAGTGCTTTCACAAATTTTCATGTCATTTTAATGTGGGGCTATGTAAAAGATGACCTGGGCACCTCTCCTTGAATGCAGCTCCTGCTGGTGGCTCTGGCTGGCATCCGGGAAATGGGTAGAAATAGGTCCACGGAAGGCTATCTGATAGAAAGGGAAAAAAATCTCAGTCCTCCATAAATATTGATGACCAACTTTGCAGTTGGTTTTATAAGCTTTTAGACATTATGGAACTTATTCTTGCTTTTGCACTCAGGGGTGAAACTCTAAATTATTTCTCTGTAGTTTTGGTCCCTTAGGGAAAAATTTTGCCACTTTCATGTTTGACTTATTTTGTTTTTCTTTGTTCAGGCAAAACTCACTGGCAGAGGCATTGCTGCACATCCGTCGGAAAAGTGAGTTTTAATGGCTTTGTGTACATATTTGACAGAGTTTCATAATGTACAGTACTAAAGACTAAGGATGAATGGATGGCCAATATAATAAACCACAAATTAAACCATTCATTGTCATGCCTTATATTTAAGCTGCTTATAATACTACAGAGTCTGACAAAAAATCTATACACACTTCAGGAAAAGAAAAATTGTATAAATATTTTACTATTAAATTTATTGAGACATCACGAGATTAATACAAGTTACCTTTGCCTCTATGATTATAAGAGGTGCTCAAAGTGGTGGCCATCAGCTTCCAGACATTTATTAGTATGATGAGCTGTTGCTTGGGTAACCTTGGTCAATGTGTCCAAGTGTCCAACATGTCCCACATGTTCTCTTGATTTAACACCTGCAAATTGTTATCTATGGGAGACCCTAGAGGATGTCATATATTGTAGGAAACCCACTGCACTGCCTGTCCTTAGAGAAGAAATTGGAAATGCACCCACAGCAATCTCAGTAACCAAGGATACCCAAGTAGCAGTTCACTGTACTAATGAATATCTGGAAGCTGATGGCCACCACTTAGAGCACCTCTTGTAACTGTGGAGGCCAAAGGTAACTTGTATTCATTTCATGATGTCTCAATAAATTTAGTATTAAAGTAGTTATACAAGTTTTGTTTTCCTGAATTGTGTATACATTTTTTGGTGAACTCTGTATTTTGCCCGTCTTTTCCTTAGTATTAAACTTCTCAATATGTCTTTATTTCTCTCAGTTCTAATGAAATTCTAAGTCAGGCATGGTGGCTTATGCCTCTAGTTCAAGCATTCAGAAAGCTGAGGCAGGAAGACTGTGAGTTCAAAGCTAGCCTCAGCTACATAGTTAATTCAGTGCTAGCCTAGACTACATAGAGCAATCTTGTCTCAAAATAAAAAATATAAAGGGCTGAGGATGTAACTGTGGGTTCAATTCCCAGTACCACAAAACAAACAACCCCACTCCACCCCAAATGCCTAGATACTGGAATTCTAGCATTTGGTCTAGAAAACTACAGGCCTTCCTTATGTTGGTGAAAGAAAACTTAGCAACAGAATGAGATGATTTTATGGCCTCTTAAATTGTCATTGAAAATGTTATTTCTAGCAAAGAAGTCTTGCAAGACATCTGGAACTCAGAGTTTGTGGCTTGTATTATGAATGTATCTTTGGCTTTACAAAGTCTGTAATTCAGGGGCTGGGGATTTAGCTCAGCAGCAAAAGCACCTGCCTTGCAAGCAGGTGGTCATGAGTTCGATCCTGAGTATCGATAATAAAAAAAAAGTCTGTAATTCTTTCTGTTTGTATAACTTAATAATGTTTCCCTGGTAATGATATTTAAATTGATATCTCCATGTTCTAAAACCTATGAATACTTATGAGTTTTTTTAATAGCCAAGGGAGTTGAAAATTTATGTGCACAAAAAAGTCTGTCTCCAAATGTTTGTAGCAGCCTTATTTATCAAAAACTAGAAACAGCCAAAATATCCTTTAACAGTGAGTGGATAAACAATCTGTGGTATTATGTATGATGGAATAAGAAGAAAGCTATTGATTCATTCAAAAATTAGAGTGAACATTTTTTAGTGGTAAGGTGTGTATAACAAACATGAATTAATCTTTTTTTTTTGGTGGAACAAGGGATCGAACTCACAACCTTGCACTTGCCAAGTAGGCACTTATGCCGCTGAGCTAAAGCCCCAGCCCCAATCTTTTTATTTTTTTATTCGTTAATGTTTGCAACATATACTGATTATATGTATTGTGAGGAGTTGATACATGTACGTAACATACATCTTAATTCTTTTTTTTTTTTTTAGACAGGGTCTCACTTTGCAGTTCAGCCTGGTCTCAAATTTGTGGCAAGTCTTCTGTCTCAGTCTCCCAAGTGTTAGGATGGTAGGTGTGTGCCACCATGCCTGAGTTTTTTTTTTTTTTGAGACAAGGTTTTGCTATGCAATTCAGGTGGCCTTGAACTCACTATGTCACCCAAACTGGCCTCAAACTTGGAGCAATCCTCTTGCTTCAGTGTCCTCAGTGCTGGGATTACAGGTATAAACCATCACACGCAGCATTTTTTTTCCTTTTTCATCCCTTATCCCTCCTTGCCCTCCTCACTTCCTCCAACTCTTGGTTCCCTTCCTATTTGCTCTGTTTTCATCATCTTTTCCCTTTAATCCTTTTTTTACATCCCTTTCCCTCCTTTTCCTTCCCCCTGCCTCCATCTTTTGTTCCCCCATCCATTTAAAAAGGATCTTTTCCTATTTATCTATCTTTATTTTGATATGTATATATAGATTCTTATATGAGAAATCATGTAATATTTAAGCTTGAAACACGAATGAATCTTAAATGCATTTTACCAAATAGAAGAAAAGTTCCCAGAGATCTAAAAGTACTATATACTTTGAAAAAAGGCAAGATTATATTAGTCTCCTATTGCTGTACTAACAAGTTACCACAAACTCAGTGGTTTACAACAACATACATTTATTTTCTTATGGTCCTGGAGACCAAAAGGCCAAAATCAGTTTCCTGAGGTTAAAATAAAGGTGTTGGTAGAACTGTGTTTCTTTTAAAGGATGGACGATTATTACCAGGTTTTGGGGGTACTGGCGTCTCCTAGAGGTGATTTCTAGATTCTTTCGGTCTGGAACAAAGAACTGAAAGAAACAAGCATAAACAACGTCAAAGTTTCACATTTACTAAAGGTAGAAAAAAAAAACCCAGACGGGTAGGGAAAAAGCAGGCTCTGCAGAGCGAGCTGGGTCAAGTAAAACGAAAAAGAAAATAAAAATGCACCCTACAACACAGAATTAGCTACCATAAAAAGGCACGACAGCGATAGCGTAATGGCGACCTCCTGTTTTTCATGTTTCCCACGCTGATGTCACATCCAGGTCATCCTATCAAAAGCCTACTCGAATTCTCGCGAGAAATCCACGTGCAGGGTTTTGGGAACTGCTCAGTGCCTAAGTCCAGGGATTTCGTCACGTCTCCGTTCCCAGCCGGTTTTAGCCACATCCTGTCTTCCTGTCTCATGAGGGATTCATTTCTTTGCCAGCTTCTGGAAGCTGTGTATGCTCCTTAGCTTGTGGAACTGCCTTCACATTGCACCAGCCTCTCTCGCTTCCATCTCACATTGCTTCCTACCTCCTTTTTGTTATGCTATTCAGAATTGAACCCAGGATCGTCACACCATGTTCCCAGCTCTCTTTCCTTTTATTTTGAGACAGGGTCTCACTGAGTCACCCAGGCTGTACTTGAACTTGCTTTCTTGAAAATTTCTGAGAGTAGGTTTGAAATGTTCTCATCACAGAAAATATAAATATGTGAGGTTATGATACGTGTTAATTAGCATGTTAATTCTCGCCATTAAGCTATTCCAGAATGTAAACATAGTTCAAAATAAAATGCAAGTGTTGATTAAAAAATAAATAAGGAGCCAGTCTGATCCCATTCATCTGAGTGTGTCCCCTCCAACTGCCCAAACTGGAGTCTTTTCCTTTCTTTTTCTTTTTCCCCATGTTTTTCTCACTTTATTGTGTAACGGGCCAGCCTGATCTTTGTCAGCTCCTCAAGCTAAAGCATTTTACCATTTCCTCTTACTTTCCAATGAAAGTTTATTACTATTAAAAATTAAATTAATAATAAGATAATTTAATTATGTGAAAAATGTATGATGTAACGGACTGAAGAGGCTGGAAGTTAATTAAGCAACTGTGTTTTCACTAGATAGGATCAGATTAATGACAAAAAGAATTGCGCAGCCGGGCGTGGTGGCTCATGCCTGTAATCCCAGCACTCGGGAGGCTAAGGCAGAAGGAGCCTTGCGAGTTCGAGACCAGCCTGGGCTACAAAGGGAGCTCAAGGCCAGCCTGAACTGCACAACGAGATCCTGTCTCAAAAAGACAAAAAAAAAAAAAAAAGAATTGCACATGAACACCATCCGCTAGATGGAAGATAGACACAGTAATACGTAGACACAGGTCAGTATGTGTACATATTCTGTTGAGCTCTGACTGCCGAGATGGCCTAAAAGCAATGACACCCCCAGCTGCAATGAACATAACTGGCATCTAGATCTTCATTTCCAAATACCATTCACCCTCTGGGGATTTAGCTCAGCGGCATAAGCACCTGCCTTGCAAGAGCGCGGTCGTGAGTTCGACCCCCAGTACTGATAAAAACAAAAACAAACAAACAAACAAAAAAAACCAAATACCATTAACTCAAAAAAAGGGCCATGCCTTGTTGAAGAAATGACTAAGTCTGGAATGTTGGTGCATGCCTGTAACCCCAGCACTCATGAGGCTGAGATAGGAGGATCTCTGTGAGTGTGAGGCAAGCCTGAACTACAAAGTGAGATCCTGTCTCATAAAACCAAACAAAAAACAAAATAAAGCAAAACAAAACCAACAAAAAGAAATGGCTGACTTGAGGGCTGGGGCAAGAAAAATACAAGATGCTTGTGGAACATTTGGTGGAATCAGGGACCAGGAAGGATCTGACAGGAAAATGAAAATCTACAGAGCAGTTAAAGAGACAGTACACAATATGGATTAAGGAAGAGACAGTCTGCACTTTCTCTCCCGCTTTTGGCTCAGGGATTGCAGGAAAGGGAGACTGGGGACTCTAGAGGGCCTCATGGAGATGTGGTGGTGGAGCAGGAGCTGTAAAGTACAGGAAGAGCTTGGGACTCTGCTCCCATGTGAATACTTCAGCAGGCAATAACTGGTGAGAAACTCCAATAAATGCCCACCATACGCCTGGGGAGAGTGCTAGGTCAGATGCCATTCTGGGGAGGGCTGATTGTTTAAAATCAGGACTCAGAGCAGCCATGGGATGGCTTCAGTTCAGGGTTCCCAGTGTTATGTTCCCACAGTGATGGAGTGATACAACCATGGGAGACAGCCATGGTGAAGAGCTGTAGTCAGGTTGGAAAGAGACGCCTTTAGGGGCTTGAGTAAAGAACACAGGCTCTATCTCTACAGCCAAGGACCAGGCCCAGCCTGAGTGGCTCTGGATTTAAAAGTTGCAGCATTGATCCCTCATACTAATCCTACTGCCTGCTGGAGCCTGATTGCAGGACAGACCTGGGGTCTGACTGCCTTCTTTATCTATCAGTGTGAGTAGGGACCCATCTTGGCTCAGAAACTGCCCCAAAATTGTAGATCTTGACATAAAATCACATATTTAAAATCACAGATAGCTAGCTTTCTCCTTTCTTCTTCCTTTCATGTGTTGTTTTGTGCTAGTTACTTTGCCTTTGTTTTTCTTTTTTCTCTTTTCATCTTTCTTCCCTAATTTGTTGGGGCTTGGGGAATTTTCCTTTTCCTTGCTTCTTATCTCTTTTTCTTACTTCTTTTTGGTGGGGATACCAGGGATCGAACTCATGACCACATGTTTGCCAGGCAGGTATTTGTGCCACTGAGCTAGACCCTTGTCCCTTCTTATTTCTTTTTTCCCTGCTTTTTTCTTTATTTTTTTGCTTCCTTTTTATTTTTCTCCCTTTGATTTTTTTTCTTATTTGTATTCCTGATATAATTTTTTTCCTTTCATCTGGTATTTCTTATCAGTTTTTTTCTGTTACCTTTCCCAATCCTACAAACATCCTTCTACTCCCCAATAGGATCTTTTGTCCCATTTCTCTCTTTTCCTTCTCATAGCATGCAGTTTAAGGTTTCAAATATTCCCTCTTGCATTCCCTGTTTTCAGCTCTGTATATCTTCAATAACGTAACCATAAAGCTTTATCTAGTTAACTGTATAAAATTACTGTTGAATTATTTTCTACCATTAGCTGTGATTTAGTACACATTAGCTATAAGTCAGTGACTGGGTTGTCTTAATGTATACACCATCACTGTGGATTTTTCTCTAGGATTAAGGGTGGTATACAATTGACGTTTATGGTATGTTAATATCCAATTTGTCTTGGACAATACTTCTGCAGCTGTGTCACCTCATCCAATTCAAGAGATCTCTATACTAGCAACAGTCTTTACACTATAAGCCTCCACAAACCTAAGCACAAAACAAAAACCAATAGAAACATGAGAAAACAAGGCAACAAAATACTTCCCAAAACTCCCAACTCCCCCAAAGCCAAAGAAGGGGATCTCAAGGGAGAGAACAGCATAAGGTACATACTTTAATTACTTAAAGGATACACACACACACACACACACACACACACACACACACACACACAAAGGACACATGAAAAGGGAAGGTAACAAAATGCCTCACAAAACTCCCAACTCCCCAGAAGCCAACTAGGGGGGGCATCAAAGGGGAAAATAGCATTAGCCACACATTCAATTTACTTGAAAGGCTAACAGAGAAGATAGAAAAATAGGTCAAAAGATACTCAGCAAGATCAGTGAAGATATAACTAAACAAGTAATGAAAGTACTAAGCTTTCAGATGCTTTTTTTCTTTTCTTTTCTTCTCTTCTCTTCTCTTCTTTCTTTTTTTTTTTTTTTTTTTTTTTTTTTGAGACAGGATCTCATTGTGTAGTTCAGCCTGGCCTTGAACTCACTCTGTAGCCCAGGCTGGCCTAGATCACACAGCAATCCTCCTGCCTCAGCCTCCCAACTGCTGGGGTAACAGGTATACACCACCATGCCTGGCTTTTTTTTTTATTGAAAAAGCTTTCAGAAGACCTTAATAAACATCTAGCTGAGCCAAAAAAAGCAATGAAAAATATGAATGTTAAGCTTAACAAAGAATTAAGAGTCCAGGAAAAATTTTCAAACGGAAATCCAAGAGATTAAAAATTATATTGAAACGATGAGCAGCAGAAGCAACCAACATGAAGACAAAATTTCAGAAACAGAAGACAATAATGCCTTCAAAGACCAACTACTCAAAAGACAATTTAAGGGCAACCTGCTCGGAACCCCTTCTGTCTCTCTCAGACAGAAGCTTTCTCTCAATAAATATATTCTACTGAAAAAAAAAGACAACTTAAAAGCAACCAGAGAACATGAGAAATGAATCCAACAGCTGCTGGATGTCACAAAGAAGACTAGGAGTAATTGAAATAAGTGAAAAGTCCAAAGACAACACAAATGGAACTAAAAACTTGTTCACAAAAATAATGGCAGAAGGGAGGGCGGAAAAAAAAATAATGGCAGAAAACTTCCCAAATAATAGGGAAAGAAATAAACATATAGATAAGCAAGGTATATAGATGAATGTGATCATTATGTATATCTAAAATGTGCCCATAAAATCTGATTGAGAAAACAAAAAAACCCTACAAAACCAAAAAAAAAAAAAAAAAAAGCCAGTCTGAACTATATAGTGAAACTCTGGCTCAAAAAGAAAAAACAAGAATGACAGAAGTGAAGAAAGAATGACAGAAGTAAAATCACCATAAATTTTGCCAAAATCCAGATTATCAGTAACTACTTTGCGAACCTGAACTCTAATAAAATGGAAAGTTCAGCACAAATGGATCAATTCCTAGGTACGTACAAACTACAAAAGTTAGCCAAAAGGATATAAAAATCCTAAATAATCCAATATCAGTCAATGAAGTTGAAGAATTAATTTAAAAACTAGCATCAACCCAGGTCCCGATGACTCACTACTGAATTCTACAAGAACCTTAGAGAATATCTAATGCCAATATTGCAAATCTATAAATGTAATAC